ATAGTCATATTTTACTGCAGTACTGTGAACTTATCAGCGCGAACTTGGAGGCTGACTCCCATGACTACCAAAAAAAGTGTTTTTTGTAGCCATTTTTTATTGTTATGACTATTTTTTTCTGTTTGACGAAATAAAATCTCTCTCTCTCAGCCCAATGCGCCTCCAACAACAAAACAATGGCGTATCAAACCTGTCATATCTACGCAATGTCACTATTTAGCTATTAGTTGCTCGGTCAAATTATCTAATAACTAGTACTGCAGTATATAAACTCGAAACAGTTGCACGTAAATTTATACGCGTGGTAAAACCTAACAAAAATCGTGATGTTGCGATAAAGTGATACGGTACGTACGGTACCGGTAACGATGAATGCGAACGCGGGTCAGCTGTGGCCAATAAAATCAAGATAATTCTAAATTTTTGAACACTTTTCGACGGTTTAAAATTATGAAAATTTTATAAAAGAAAACGATTCTACCAAATTGATAATTACACTATTCAACTTTGACACCATGCAACAATTTCGCTAAATAAAAACGATAAAAAAATACAATTTTAAACCTTGGTAGCCGTTGTCTTTTTTTTTTTTTTTTTTTTTTTTTTTTTTTTTTTTTTTTTTTTTTTTTTTTATTTATTTTTTTTTTTTTTTGCCAAATTCAATTCCAGAGTCAATATGGAATTATTTAATTATGTTTTTGAAGCCAATTAAATTTTCAGTTTTTGTTTTATATAATTTTATTTTTTTTTTGTTTTTTGGAAACCAATTGCATGTATTGCGTTCCAATTACGGTACTTGAGGAAAATTAAAACAGTTGGATAAACAATTATTAATACATATCAAACCCAGTGATGATAATCCATTTTTCGTCATATATCCGTTTGTATTGAAGATTGTCCATATTTCGTCATAAATATAGCATTTTTATGTACATATATAATTAATTATTTTATTTTAGCATGGAAAAAGAGAAGGTTTCAAAAAATTAGACAGAAAATTCAAAAACCTATCATGCTACTAGATTTTCATTTAATCTGTCTATGTTATGCAATGCAATGCAGTTAACCTTCCCAAAACTTTTTTTTTTTTTTTTTTTTGATCTAACGTTAGAGACTTCCTAACTTTTTTTTTTTTTTTTTTATAAAAACAGTCAATATTATCAATACTAGTCAATCTTAAAAATGTACTATCAAAAGCTATGACATTACCGACTTTTCTAACAAGTTTTCAATTCTTCCATCCTCCAAAAAGCTATTTTTCATATTTGATGCCATATTTTTCAGCATCCCTCTAATTTTACATTTAAAAATTATTCTCATAACTGATTGGAAATTATCCAAATCTTCAAATATTATCTGACTCCTGAATTCCCAAATAGCTGCCTTTCCACATGCAACTATCATAATAACTGACAGGTCACATGTATTTTGTGCAATAATGGTATCAATATTATTTTCACTAAAATGCAACTCGCACCAATCCCAAAATATTTTAACATAATAGCATTCAAAAAATAGATGTTTACAGTCTTCAATGATATTAATATTGCACAACACACAGTGACCATCATCATATTCTGTCCAATGCCTTGTTCTATTTCCAGTAGGTAATGCCATATGAATTATTTTCCAACATAAAACTTGTACAATTTTAGATATTCCATGAACCCAAATGTTATTCCAATCAATATCAAATTCCAGTCCATAATATTCCTTAATTGATAAACCTTTTTGTTTTGTCACTTCCATTATCTTTTTACTTATAATTTGATTATACATATATTTCGTGGTTGGAAGTTTTTCAAATGAATATATTGAACTGGAATCTGTTTGAACATTACTTTGACTATTCAACACATTAGCCCATCCTGATGGTATGGCTTTTAAAATTTGTACAGAATCTTTTACTACTTTCCTATAACAATCAAGTTTTTTATTTTCACGCATACTACTCCATTTGTTTATGCCCCAAATTTTGATTGCTATTTCAAGACAGTCATATTGGAACAGATGGCCAAATGTTAAAATGTTTCCTCTTATCCAATTATTTATAAATTCTGGTTGATTCAACCATGTTAAGGCTGGATTCCACCATATGTATTGATCATATATTTGTTGTTTAGTGGTGATTTGTTTCGTTTTTACATCAAGTTCCTTGAATATGTTGACCGAATTTATATAAAACTTAGGAATGTTATTATTCCTTAAAATTTTCAAAGAGAGATGTAGTATTTCTAAATTTGTCACTGTTATTTTAGGATGGTATCTATTTATAAATTGTTTCGCTCTCTTTGCCCAAGGAGCCTCATCACTTTTTAATAATTTCCAAATCCATCTAACTTGTAGACTTTTAATCTGACTACACAGATCCATGGCCTTCAGACCTCCTTCAACTTTCCTTGCACAGCAGACTCTCCTCTCTACCGTGGGTTGTTTGTTGTTCCATACAAAATCCCATACTAGGGTCTCAATTGTTTTAATGATTTCATTTGGAATTGTTATTACAGCCGCAAGATACCACAATTTAGATAATAATAGACTTTTAGTAATCAGTATTCTCCCTTGCATGCTCATAGTTCGAGCTCTCCATATATTCACTACTCTTTTGATTTTTTCTATAATTGGATTCCAGTTTTGTTGCGTCGTGTCATTGTTGCCGATCCAGACACCAAGGACACATAAACTATCCCTTTTTAATGCTATACCTTGAAACTGTGTTTCATTTATCTTAAGACAATCTCCACATAACAATATTTGAGATTTTTCCTTATTTATCCTAGTACCTACAGCTATTTCAAATTTTTCGACTATTTTCAATGCCTCTCCAACTGATTTTAAATCTCTAACTGTTAATGTTGCATCATCCGCAAACCCTTTGTATTTTTCTTCATTCCCTGAAATGTTCTTAAAACCTATTATGTTGCTATTTACTCTAATATTAGTTGCAAAAACCTCCGCAACCATAGTGTATAAAAATGGGGACAGAGGACAGCCTTGTTTTAATCCACGTGTCATTTCAAAACTCTCTCCTACATATCCATTTGTTAATATTTTTGCTTTTGTATTAGTATATAAAATTTTATATAATTGATAAAATTTGGACCTAAATTAAACTTCTTCATAACTTTAAAAAGGAATTCTCTATCAACAGTATCATAGGCTTTGGCCCAGTCTATTGAAAACACTACTAATTCTTTTCCAAATCTGTTAGCATAAAATATGTCGTCTCTAATACATGAGATGTTTTCATGTATAGAACGACCCTGAATAAAACCAGTCTGGTCACAGTGAATTATTTTTGGAAGTAAGTTTCTAATTCTGTTAGCTAAAATTTTTGCCAAAAGCTTATAATCAAAGTTTAACAGCGATATAGGTCGCCAATTATTCAGGTCATTTTTATTTCCTTTTTTATACAATAGGGTGATAATAGCTGTTTTCATTGACTCTGACATATGTCCTGATATTACTATTTTGTCAAAAACAATTTTCAATATACTTCCAAATATTTTCCAGAATTTCGCATAAAAATTTTTTGTAATACCATCTGAGCCCGGCGCTTTGTTTAATTTCATACCTTTAAATGCGTTTTCTAATTCTTCAAATTTAATTGGTTGTTCTATGTCCTCCTTATCTAATCTATCAACTTCTTTATTTAATTTCAAAATCAAATCATCTTGGGAATTTTCATCTAGATTTGGTGTTTTTGAGTATAATTTTTGGTAAAAAGATTGTTGTACTTTTTGTATGTTTCTCAAACCTCTCACAATCTCTCCACTTTCGTTTTTAATTTCTTGTATCAATTTCAATTTCCCTCGATACTTCTCCAAATTGAAGAAATACTTTGATGAGATTTCTCCCGATTCTGTCCACTGTATGCGTGCCCTTATAGCGTTTCCTTTTACTTGATTCGTTTGAAAATCTTTCAAATTTTGTTTTGCCTGCATTAACTTGTGACTTTTTTCTATATCGTATTGATCTTCCTCATATTTGAACAATGCTTCTTCATAAGTTTTTATTAATTGTTTTTCTATATTCCTATTTTCCTTAGCTAACTTTTCTCCACTATATATAGACCACTCCTTAATTTTTCTTTTACAATTTTCCCAAAATTTAAGAACATCAATTTCATGTCCTTCATTTAATTGCTTTAGCCATTTCTTTGATATAACTCCTACCCCTGTGACAAATAAATCATAATTTAATAAGTTGCTATTAAATTTCCAATAACCTTTCCCACGTTTGATATTCTCGCCTATATCTGTCCACATAAAGACAGGTAAGTGATCCGATAATGCTGCTGCAATTATTTCAACTTTTTCTACATTGACAGTATATAATCGCGAAAGATACCATCTGTCTATTCTGCTTTTGGATTGTTTTTGCCCGTTTCTGGTTGCTGGGCGATGAAATGAAAATTGTAAAAGGGATGAGTGCCTTTCACGCCAAATATCAATCAAATCCAATTTAGTAACAATATTTTGGAGCATTTTTTCACTTTTGGATTTATTATTTCTTCTACATTTGACGGAATCCCTATCCCTATCTTCCAAAATACAATTAAAATCACCACCACATATAAAATTGCATGTGTATGCATAATTTGAAGCTTTCAGGGTTTCTAGTTTTTCATATATAAGTTTGAACAACTTGACCCTTTGAGAATCAAGGTTTGGAGCATAAACGTTCACTACTACTGTTAAAAAACTATCGTATTCAAATGAACATATAATATATTGGCCATTTTCGTCTATATCTATATTTCCTAAAGATATATCTAAATTTGAAGAAATCAAGATCCCTACCCCATTGCAGGTATTGGAATATTCAGTCCATAAACATTGACTACCCCACTCTTTTGACCATGATTGGTAGCCGTTGTCGCCAGCTCGGTCAGCTGCTAATGATGGAATGTTAATGACGTCACATCAATTTCCGTTACGCATTAGTTCACAATTTCTGCAACAGCCCTCTAGCACTACAAGTGGTGAAAGTATTTCCGACTTCTCCCTGAAGCACCTTCTTGCTGACATTTTACTTGTCGCGTAGGGAAAATCGGCGCACCAGATACGGTACCGTAATCTTTAACACGGAAAAGGAAAATGGCTTCAAGAGGGAAAACGGTGGCTGGAACTGATGGTACAGATCATACATTTCGGGAAAAAGTTGCTTCTCAGTATCGTGAAAGGTAACTCTCCTTGCTGAATATTGTTTGTTCGCTTTCCTGATTCTGTAATCAGTTTTATTTTTTTGGTTTTATCAATTTTTTTTCTATCATCTTTTATGCTGATTATGGAGTCAAAAAAAATTTATATATATAAAATTGTATATATAAATTTATATATATAAAATTGCATGTGTATGCATAATTTGAAGCTTTCAGGGTTTCTAGTTTTTCATATATAAGTTTGAACAACTTGACCCTTTGAGAATCAAGGTTTGGAGCATAAACGTTCACTACTACTGTTAAAAAACTATCGTATTCAAATGAACATATAATATATTGGCCATTTTCGTCTATATCTATATTTCCTAAAGATATATCTAAATTTGAAGAAATCAAGATCCCTACCCCATTGCAGGTATTGGAATATTCAGTCCATAAACATTGACTACCCCACTCTTTTGACCATGATTGGTAGCCGTTGTCGCCAGCTCGGTCAGCTGCTAATGATGGAATGTTAATGACGTCACATCAATTTCCGTTACGCATTAGTTCACAATTTCTGCAACAGCCCTCTAGCACTACAAGTGGTGAAAGTATTTCCGACTTCTCCCTGAAGCACCTTCTTGCTGACATTTTACTTGTCGCGTAGGGAAAATCGGCGCACCAGATACGGTACCGTAATCTTTAACACGGAAAAGGAAAATGGCTTCAAGAGGGAAAACGGTGGCTGGAACTGATGGTACAGATCATACATTTCGGGAAAAAGTTGCTTCTCAGTATCGTGAAAGGTAACTCTCCTTGCTGAATATTGTTTGTTCGCTTTCCTGATTCTGTAATCAGTTTTATTTTTTTGGTTTTATCAATTTTTTTTCTATCATCTTTTATGCTGATTATGGAGTCAAAAAAAATTTATACTTAAATTGGCTACTTCTTAGACAGGAAGTTGAAAATTAAATTTGCTTCTAAATTGACTAGATATTCATGTTCAACATTTTTTAATAGTATACACTCCACATTTCAATATTTTTAGAGTTTCTAGTTTGCTTTGAGTGTTTGTATCAATGGTTTCAAATCGTCAACCCAGGCTTCTTCGGTTATATAGTATGGTTTGTGCTGTTGTGTGTGTCAGTGCAGACTATTTATATAAAAAATATTCAAAATAAAATTATTATTTGTTTATTTGGGTCTCATGTAGTTTCTTACCTAACATATTTCTAGTGGGCGTAGCATAACAATTTCTTTACGTGTCAAACCTAACCCCCACCTGACTACGCCATCCCAAAATTACGTCACTACGACGTCACAGTGACAAAATAGAGCCCTTCAAACTATACGAACTGCCATCCAAGACGCGCAGACGAGCACCCGAAATCGAACAGCTATTTCTCTCGTTTTCTTGTCGCTACGATCTCAATAGAGATCGATGACGTTTATCAGTTCTTTAGCGATGGCGCTGATGCCATTTCGGGCAATCGTACGTATATTTGGCAAGCTCTATGACGTATTTGTGGTGTCGTAGTGACTTAATTTTTGGATGGCGTAGTCAGATGGGGGTTAGGATTGACATATCAAAAAATTGTTTTGCTACGCCTACTAGAAGTACGTTAGGTACGAAACTACACGAGACCCCTTTATTTGATGCCAACTCTTTTGCAAGGAATATAAAAAAGTCACTGCTTGATAACCAGTATTGGTTTTTGACGCCTTCACTTTGCCCTGGAATCACATTTTTACTCCATTTTATATCCGGTTCGTACAGAGTACCTATTTTTTGTAAATTACTGATCAAATTGAAAAAGTTCTTTTTAATTCTTTCAGTGCAAAATTGAAAAGAAACCTTCGAACAATGTTCATGCTGTTAACAATCCCACTTGCAATGCTGGCGATTCATGTTTCAAAATTAAATGACAATATCAAACTTACAAATCAGGCAAGTATCTGGTTCCTGAACGCTGTAGTAAGAAATTAATGGAGCTTAACTGATAGCTTATATCCAGAGATGACAAGAAATAATCAATCATTCCGAATACATTTTGGAATAATATACTTTTATATGGGTTGCTCCAAATTGGGTTCTAGAAATCAATGTACATTCAATAATTTTGAATGTGTAAATGCGGGTAATTTACTGTGATTAGATTGGTTTTTCTTTTTATAAGTTCACAGTAATTGTGTGAGTCTTTTCGGTCATATCATAAGATCTACTATGTTAACTGTATATTTATTGAATTTCTGGCAACTAGCATTTTCCCATATGGCTGAGCATGACCAGTGATGTCATCAGTTACAGATGACTGATCATGACCAACTAGCTGCGAAGTGCCAATGTGCTCTCAGTACTGGAGTGCTCAATCCAGTTGGTGTGTCTTGCAAATTACTTTGGTTAAGGTTATGGATATCTACTGATTATACATTCATTCTGAGTTAACATTCTATTCCTTCAAATGAATCTATTCTAAGTTATTTGTTAACAAAAATCCTAAATTTCCCTTTGATAACTTTCGTAATAATAAATTTAAATTGCCGACTCATTCACTCATTTTTTTTTCTATTTTATTTAATCTCGTTTGCATTCACCCATGGTACTATACTATGCCATGGTGAGCTTATATACAGCTTATACACAATGGTCGAGAGCCTAGATGACCTTAATCGGTCCTGCACACCGATCCGCACACAACAATAATCAATCACTGTTAATACTGCTGAAATATTTTCTTTATTGTGTTATGTTATATTAGTGTTGTTTTTGTGGCAATAAAACTCTCTCTCTCTGTAAACTCAAGAATTTTTAGTTATTCATATAAATATCTTCAAATTTAATTCTGGGCATCCTTGACTATTTCCTCGATATATGAGAGGATTAGCAAATAGGAGTGTTGGTTTCAAGCTTCAGCCCAGCTTTGCTCCCGGTATGAGAATTTGTGTGTGTATTCTATCCTGAAACTGCAGTAACCTTTATTTAAAAAAAATACAAAACCCCTGCATTTATATCTTCTTTTGATGAATCAAATATTCTTTCTAGGTTTTGCCAAAACCTGAACCTTGGGAATATGTTTACCTTGTAAGTGGGATCTTCAATCTAATTGGTTATTCATCGCTGTCAAGAAACAACACTCAGAGACTGACAATATATTTCTACGGAACAGCAATGGCTGCTTTTGGCGGAATAGTTTGGGGCGCAGTCGCTCATGCACGAGAAGTAGAAGCTTTCGTTATGAGAGGCCAAGTGAAGGCGTTCCTATTCCGCCAGCCTTTGGTCATTTTGACTTATTTATTCCTAGCTTTGTCAATGCAATTGAATATTTTTGCTATTAATTATGCAAGAAGTTTGCTCAAGGCGTGGAAAGCTAAAGGATTTAAGACTGATTAAATTTTTTGTCTATCATGTACTTTTGCAATCATATGTGTTTTATTGAGCTGCCTGTGTTAGAGTTTTGCATGCTTAGATTGTTAAAAAGTCATTTCGCTTGCAATTTGAATCTTCTTGCAGTGGGGTGGGTGATAATGAAAATTTCAAAATCCTCATCTATTTAAATATGGACTAATTTTGATCCAACTGAAAGGCTGAATTGAAATCTTTGTCATCTCCAACTCCAGCCCGGATCTTAATATCACATACAGCTATAGAAAATCACTCTATTTCATTGGAAACCCTTGTGGATCATTGGTTGGTGAGAACATAGCTTGTTATGGGACGAATAAATTTTAACCTATTGGATATTTTTTACATTTATGTATGGAAGTTCAGTTTTCAGATCTGTCTATCTCCCGTTTTTTCAGCATGTCCATGTTACAATGTTGTTCCTAATGTTAAGTAATTACATTTTCTGAGTCTGATGAGTTAATATGTGCTAGCTAGTAACCAGACTCTTGTTACTGATGTTTTTTTTTCAAGTCCAATTTAGACAAAAATATGGATTGGATACTTGTTCAACAGTTCTGGATGTTGAACAATTTAGTGAATTATGAAAGTCAACAAAAAGTTGTTGGCTGATGAGAGCTCTGAAAGAAAACTGATATCCTACATCAGGGGTTCCCAAGCTTTTTTCAGGATGACCCCAAACACAACTTTCAAGTGTCCAGTGCGACCCCAAGTCAATATATATACTTTTCATAAAACTTTAGAGCTTCTTTTACTGGACTTTTGAGTTTGGTCATGTGTTGGTATTTAAGTAAAATAAGCTGCAACAAAACAGTGATGTCACAATAAGCACCTACATTTTTTATAGCATAAGCATGGAGCGATGCCTATGGTCCTGTTTTACAGTGAGCCATGCTGAAAACTGCTGAATTTAACATGGTTTGTCAAATTTTAGATGGTATGTACTTCCATCCTCTACCATAACTCAGCGACCCCATGACCTGTTTGCGACCCTACCTAAATATCACTCCGACCCAATTTGGGTCGCGAACCCTGGTTTGGAATCCCTGTCCTACATACATGGTTAGATCTGCAGCATGTAGCATTGGTAGACTTTTTTTTGGCCAGTGTTGCATGTCTTTCGCGGTGCGAGGAAGGCTTTGGTCTAGGGGCAGACATACCGTATCTATCCTTTATGTCTGTAGCACCTAGGCCGTGTTCCTAACTGGATGGGAATCTCGGAGACCCTGACCACTGCAACATCTCAGTGGCCTGCCTATTAGAGATCAGGAATGAGGTTATGAGCAAGCTTTTTACTACAAGACCCTAATATGGAGGCTATGACCATTATTCTCACAATAATTACAAAGTTGAAGGAGAATGTAGTTCGCTAGAGCAGGGGTTTTGAAACTTTCAGCAATATGGAGCCTGCAAAGAGGTTGACTATTGTTTACGGAGGACGAGAATAAATTTACAAACATCTATATTGGACCCTATAGATAAGAAGTTCTCAACTTTTTTTTTCGCGGCCCATTTCTGTTGCTCAAAAATTCACGTGGCCCATTAAATTTTTATTACAAGGGGAAAACTACAAAAAAAAATCTTTCTGCGGAAATGGACCCTTAAACGTTTATAATTAGAATAAAAATTACCACTCAGTTGCATCGTCATTGACTGCTGCTGCAATCAAAATTGACTATTTTGACACAATAGTTCTGTGGCTCAAAATCATCTTTTTGTGGCCCAGTGGTGGGCCATGGCACACTGGTTGAGAACCAGTGCTCTAGAATAGATAATGTCATATTCGAATTACCTCCTTGTTGCATTCCGACGCTACCGTCGTCAAATTTTATCATATAGTTACTGCTTCTCGCCATGTCAGTATTTTGATAAATGAATAGCTCTCAGAGTTCTATCACAGGGACCCGAGCCTCCCGATGAAGCACTTCGAGAACCTATGGGATAGAGGAAAATGGGGGCTCCCGAAGTATGCGAACCAAGATGGCGGACATTGGAATGTAATATGTGTACTAGGTCAGGGTTAGGCCATAATTTTAGGTATAAATACTACGGGAGGCTCTTGGCTAGTCTTCGAACTGATAATAGGACTAAAATAAGGAAAATTGGAAAAAAATTATGGCCTAACCCTAACCTGTTACGTTCCTATGTCCGCCATCTTGGTTCGCATACTTCGGGAGCACCGGAAAATGTGAATGCTATTTACAAAGCTACCTACCGCTGCTAAAATGGAATGGATCACTAATTGATCTTTCCTATTAACACAAAAACAAAAAGTCTACAATGGTAAATTATATTTGAACGACTCAAATAAGAGAATCCAGATAAAAACTGAATAACCGATATAAATTACAAAAAAACTTTCGCCTTACAAGAGACGAATCAATGTTTGGGTTCTAGAGAAAGAAGGCTTAAGAACAACGCCATAATTTAAAATACAAGTTCTGCAGGTATTACCGGCAGACCAGAATGGACACTTATCAATAGAATCCTTGTTTTAACTCTGAAATTGGCAAACAGTCGATTAATAGAATCCCCCTACTTTTCTTCGAAATGGGGAAACAGTTGGATACATTATCCTCATCACCATTAAAAATATAAGCATTCATGTTAAATTATATTTCAAATCAGAAATGAGCTTTGATGTGTAAAAGCCTACAGTTTTAGCTGGAGAATTTGGACACCTATCCTCGGCTTTTTTTTGCCCACTATCATGGAGTGGTACTGTAGTGAATTATATTTTCAACAACTCTAATAAATTTAACAACTATTATGAGAGTATTCATTGGAAAGTCACCAACTCTGGAAACGAACAGAAAACCATCAGTTTCCGTAGAAAATTAAGAATCCCATACTGGACTTATATGAACCCCCCCATGATGGGACTTTAAAAATTACATTCCAGGTAAATAAATAAACCTTGATTCCAGAGAACAGAAATCTTGTATCAGAAGGCCACTGCTTTTGCTCCAAAGTCCCAGTTCGAATTGTCTGATGCCCATAACCAGTATAAAGCACACCAAATGAAAATGCTGTTCACTAAAATGATTGTTAAAACTACATGCAGCATTCAGTCCCACAACCAGCACTGCAATGCACCGAAATAATTGAAAAAAAAAAATATGGCTATAATTCATCTTTACTTTCGAATAATTTAAACGGGGATAAATTTCCTAAAAAGTTTACGACCCAGCGATACATGTAACAAAAATAATCAAAAACGTAATTCAGGATTGTCTTAGGTGGTGAGTTACCACCGTTGTCATCGACAACAGAGTTTGGTGATGCATGACGTTTATCATCATCAATGATGACATCATCATGTTCCAGTTGATCGATTTCATCCGAAGTCCGTCTTGTCTATTCTTTGTCCATAGCTTCGCTGGGTTTTATAAACACACCTTCCACAGCCTTCCAATAATTGCTGGCTTTCGTGGGGGCACCAAGAGCAACTATTTCGTTTTGGCCATTGATGGGCCTTCCGTATGTTTTAGCTAAATGTTTAAAAATAACCAAATTCAGTCTATTATTCACAGTGAATTTTGCTTTTTTCCAAAAAGAGGTTTTAGTAATTGTTTTACAATAGAATCAAATAGCAATCACTCGATTAGTTCACAACAATCGCACAAAATTTTTTGCTCAAGTAAAATCCTATGAAACAATAATTAATTACCAGAAGGCATTGGCAGGGTATCCTTATGCATTTTTAGGAAATTCTGTAGCTGTGTTAGACTTTTGACTGACTTTTAAGCAGTTTTGCAATAGGATGAAAATAAAGACTATTTAGCAATAAATTACTTTTCCAAATAGATTTCATAAAAGATATATTTTTCTAAAATTATTTGAAATGGTAAATTATTCAATTATAACTATAATTATGATTTTCAACATAGATGGGTTAGTATACTGAAGAACTATTTGAATATACTCATGATTAGAAATCATAGAGGCATATTGTTAATGCATATTTCTCTCCAAATGAGATAAAATGATAAGCAACTAAAAGCATGCATGTTATTGCTATTTAAGTATTTAAAACTAAGTAACAAACACAACAAATAGAGCTTACTAAAATCTCCAAGCAAACAAATTGAAGTTTAAAATTATTCAAAAATTAAATATCACAAAAACACTCAAAATCATTCAATTATTCAATTTTAGTCCAAATTGAAACTGATATTGAAAAAACATGCTGTAGGTTGTCTTTGTATCATGGGTTTTGATGAAAAAATAAAATCTCTCTCTCAGTAGACATCAGGGTTTGAGCCAAAATAAAAAGAACAATATAAAAATTCAAATTTTTCTAGAGATGTGATCTTCTGCTTATTTAAAATGGCCAGCACACATCTGATTATTCTGTACTGATTTGCAAGTTTGGATCCGACTGATTAAATTATGAATACGGATTGCTGGACTTCTCGACTTCATAGGGTTGTTCTCATAACCAACCGCTGGTCGATAAAGAGCTTCTTGCAGCATCCACAGAAATTAAGAAAACAGGCAGAATTCCACAGCTATGCTTATTTATATTGAATTCCAATTGTATAGACTGTTAGGAAATAGACAATTTGCCCCGAAAACCTTGTCAAATCGCCATTCAAGGCATTTTACATAACTTATGGTAACCAGAGGCCCAGTAATCCTTTCAAATCTGGGTATCAACCATGGAATTTGGACCTACAGAGTCACACGCCATAATCAACTGTACGTTAGGATGGGATTTACATATTTATCCCGGAGAGAAGAAAGCCAATAAGATGACAGAATCACATGGCGGCCAATATTAGGTATAGGATCATAGCCAGGTATTTGATTTTCTGAAGCATAGACTTGATGGTGGAGGACGCCATAACAGTTACGTAAACCACCCTACGAAGGAACCCAGCAATCTTCTCGCACATCACTATCCCCGCATGGGATTCGAACATGCTTACCCATCAGCATATCCCGAAATTTCATTTAACACAAATCATAGAGAGTTATCTTGATTCCCTCCAATACTTACAAGTGCAAGACAGATAATTCTCGGTTTCTTTGTGTTTCAATCTAATGTGGTCATTCCTGCTCCAGTAATCGTTGTCACACAAAACAATCCAGTTGTCCAAATTATCTCCTTCACCTTCTTCTCCAAAGGCACTGACTTCCTGGAATTTAATAGGATTTTTACTGATAATTGTGATTATATTGTTGTTTTGGAATGGATAAACTTAAAATTCTTCATTTATGACAGTTGTTCCAAATCTTCTATGGCTCGTGGCACCCTCCTGTAGGTTTTAGCACTCATGGCTGCCCTGTTTAATATCCCAGTTATATTCTGAGTGTTATTTTGATTAATAGATTCCAAATCCCAATATGTTTAAGCAATTCATGCTCAACAAAGTGAAATCACCCTGTGAAATAACCTCATTAGGCAATTAAACTAGGTAGAGTTTTCCTGTAAACTGGGATGTAAAAGCAGTTCAGCGCCTAGCATTGTGGTCCCCTCCAAACGCTCTGTGGCCCCCGATTAGAAACCCCTGATTTATGGTTTAATAATATGAAATTCACTGCTTTTGAGACGCCGTGGTTCGTTCATGGCAGGAGCTGCCATGAAGTGATAAGAACTGCAATTCGCTTTTGATCTGTTTTCCTGAATTAATTTGAATTTCTTGGCGTCTCACATTAATCACAGAAACCACCGCATTTCTGAATAATTTCAATAACGCTAGGCATTTCAAGGTCGCTAGTACCTTTGCTACGGAGTGTTGAATTGTCAAGATAGAGGCCCAGGCTGTTTCGTAAAGGAGGGGTATGCACTCACTGTTATAATTGATGTTGGCTATTCAAGGAATCGGAGAACTGTACAATACTGTAGTCGAGGTTAATAATATAACTAAAATTGACACTATTTTTTTCTGTTTTCTTTTACCTGCTCTTGAGTCATTGGTGCAGAGAAATGATGAGTATGCAAATTCTTCTGTGTTGAAAGATGTGTCAATCTGATTGTTTGGCCACATTTTATTGGCGATCCTCGTTTACAAAATTTCTTCATTGCAGCCCTAACTTGCCAATAACTGTTCGCGTCAAGTTGATCCTGCATTCCTGTAACTGACTGTTGGCCACTTCCTGAAATTTTAGAAAATACATATGAATATTAAATTGTTGTGGTCGGGTCAGAACAGTTAGTTCAATTCCAAGAATATCCCGATATTAAATGCTATAGTATAATTTTTTTCCTTCAATGAACTGGATCATGTTGTCTGATGAATATTATATTATAACTGATTGATAATGATGAACTTTTTTTAATCCTTGTTCAGTGAATTTCTGGATAATGTGAAAAAAACACATTCTGATATCATAATATAAAAAAGATCATTGACTAAATAATAATAAACTTTGTTTAAAGACAGTACGGCGCACTATACAGATCGAGCGACATTGTCTCGTTTCAGAGAAACCCATTTACAGATGATCAGACACCCCTCCATTGGGAGATGTCTGGACATTGCAATATCGGTAAAAATACAGTTAAATGAAGCAAAATAATACAAAAAAGCGCAATTTATCACATCATCATTTAGTTAAGGGGAAATAATCTGATTAATCAAAAGGGTAATTAGAATAAACATAATACTATATGATAAAATACTCTTCTCTCAGAAGTAGGCCCTATTTCAGTATTTCGAACAGAAAACGTAAATTCCATTTTCTTACCCGAGCCATATTTTACATCATGCGAGTGCAGACGAATGCCATAAGCTTTGTTGACAAGTTTTACAGCCGAGCCGCAGGTTACATAATCATAATCAAATCCCAGTGTTTCACAGATGTGGATCAGGAATAATAAAAATACAGTGTGTGTATATTTTCTTGCATCCATTTTACTTTAAATAAATAGGTAAACCTGGATTGTTAAACAAATTGAGTTGGCATTAAATTAAGCTAATATTTAAATATATCAACTTATGAGCTCCCCCGATTCATCAACTAAACAGATGACAAAAAAACGTAAAAAATTGTCTTTTTTTTTTTTTTTTATTGCAACAAAAGAGTAAAAGCAATTAGAAAATAACACTATGTCAAATGCAATATTTAAATAATAACACTAATTTTGACAGTGGATTATCACCAAATGGCAGAGAATAATAAGAAATTTTATTTTTATTGGGGGGGGGGATATTGCTTTAAATATATAGTTGCAAGATACAAATTCTAATATATTGAGTATAATTCAAACAGATACATTTATCCATTTAAACTTGGGCCTCTTAGTATTTTCATGTAGTGACCATTTCGAATGTGCTAATACATTATCAGTATGACCTTGGTCATTAAAAAATAATTAAAAAAACCTAGTTTCATGGGACACTTATGGAAAGCTTTACACTGAAATCATCCAGCAATATAGACAAAATTAAAATAACAAAACAAAGTACAGTACATAGAAAAAAGCTCATTCACTTAATCCAACTCGTCATCTGAATCTGTAACCAACACTATTAACAACTAAAAACTACATATAGAATAATAGACCAAACTTCTTTTACGGTACCATTCGTACACGAATTGATAATTTGTGTTCATTTTTAAGACCAATAGCAGTTGTAAAGATGAATACCACATTTTAATAATCACATTGTTACAATAATATATCATAGGCAATATTAACTTGTATTTATAACATTATTGATTTCTCAAGTAAAATTTCAATCCTTTCATCCAATGTAACATTTGCTCTTTTAGCTTCAGACATGTACATTATAGCAGCTTTCAACTTGCATTTAAATAGTGTACGTAAAATGGATTGAAAATAATCTCCACCAAACACAACAAAATTTCCAAACTCCCAAATAGCTCCCTTTGCACAAGATATTATCAATTCAATTGATGTATTATACAGCAATATGATTGTCCTGATGTTGTACATATCAGGAGTAATATCACACCATTCCCAAAATTGTTTCATATACATACATTCGTAAAACAAATGTCTGCACGTTTCAATATTATATCTACAAAAATGACACATTCCCCCTTCGTTATCAACCCAATGTCTCACTTTGTCACCTGTTGCTAAAGCCAAATGAGCGATTTTCCATCCTAATACTTGAAGTTTTCTTGGAATATATTTATCCCATAAGTTCACCCAATAAATATTCTCAGTTGTTATACTATATCTTTCCGACAAATGTTTATATTTACTGATCATGTATTTTTCATGCCAAAAGAGTTCTACATAAAAAATTGTCACCACGCAGACGAAAAATGACATGGACCTGAAGAATGAAAATTATAAACGTACGTCACAAATCTTATTCCGGGTTGTCACATAACCTTTGAACTACAATTCAAATTAAAATGTTTTTAAGAAATTTCAGTTTTTTTTTATTAGAAAATTTTAGAATTAACTTAATAATATTTTATCAGATAAAAAGACTCATTTTAATCTATTACAAAGGTTGACAAATTTTAGACATGATTCTTTGTGAATTCATTTCCTCCAGTTGTCCCTGTCGAGCAGTAACAAAATTATTTTGTGATGTTGCCAGATTGCCTGTGGCTTATAATTTTAATATTGTAAAATCCACTTTTCGAAAATATATTGTCAGTAGATTTTTTTGCCAAATAGCATTTTTTTGTATGCTCAATGTAAGCATAAATTTTTCAAATATTAACATCATGTTTAAACACCCAACTAAAATCAATTGGGTTGAATTTTATTTTCATATCTGGTAAAGAATCCACGACTGACTGACATTTTGATGACAACAGTATTAAATCTGCTTTGCGACAATCGCCCTTATATTTTTTTGTATACTTGGGCATGTAGAACTGAAGGTATATGCATTAATTAAGAGTTATATTAGGTCGATGCAATAATTTAAATTCTCAATTACTCTAGTGAAATTTTTGCACCACTTTTCGTTTTGCTAAAAACCTCCCACTTAGGTGAGTGAATAGGTTCTCCTACAACAATGACAATAGACAGACAATAAGTTTATTTCGTCGTGCAAGAAATCACAATACAAATTCAGTATTACAATACATTTCAAATACAGTAACGGATTTCATCGCAATTGACAGGAAGTCGCGAAGGACCAGGAATGGTCATCACAAGTCTGCGACACCAAGATTAAAAACGAGTCAATAATAAAAAATTGAAATAAGTGAAAGCAATATGCACAAAGAAAAGCTTATCCATTCATAAATTAACCAACAAGGTTGATATGAATCATTATATATGATTTGGGAAGAAAGTAAAAATGAAAGTCGGGAAAATTCAATTGATATACAGTAATTATAAAAATAAATCACCATATCATTCAGCTGTGTTTTTGTACAATTGCAGCGATTAAATTTTTATATATTGTCATATGCAACATTAAATTGAGCGATCATTTTATTTGATGAGAAAAAATTAAATTAAGCAACCTCTATGTACGAATTATAAGGCACAATTCATACTCAATGTACAACCATCCACATAAAACTTTTAGGGTAGAAAATAAAATTTGGCACCAGGCCGATGTTAGGCGCATATATCCAGATCGGAGGCGACTCCAGCCACATCTTAGTTACAGTTGGTTAACTACGGAGGGCAATCATTTGTCAACGAATTTGTCAACAATGAGTGCTGAAATAATAAATCTGCTGCAAACTCTGTTATATCTGAAGCGATTACCCCTGGGCCTGATGACATATATTTAAATTGTAGATAACTTGTGAATCTAAGAGTCTTTGTTTTAAAAATAAATACTGAAATACATCTGATAAGTTGAATTTTTTTCTTTTTTACATATTACAGTATTATAATTCACCATTTTAAAAATGAATAAACTCAGAAACTGTATGCTGATATGATATCAACTCCACAATTATGGAAAAATATACTGCAGTACTGAAATATAAGTAATGAATAGCAGATTTACATCATGATTCAGTGAATGTTCGTGTGATTACTGGATCATGTATTTTTGGTTATTACTTATCGATCTTAAGATTGGTGAGTATGTTGATAGGTATTTGTTTGTTTGTCTGTTAGATGCACGCGATATCTCACAAAAGCGAGGTTCAATCTGCTCCAAATTTTGCATGAGCTTTCATCATAGCTCCGATCAGAAGCCTATTGATTTTGAATGAATTATGTCGTATAATTAGCGAGTTAATATTTAAATAATGATGGGACACACGTTGTCACTATGGAGTAAGACCACTGTTTTGGGGGATCCCCCAACCTTCGATCGATAAGTCTTCGGTTTCCAACCAAATTTCTAGTATTTTATATCTTTAAAAAAAATGCTCTTCTGCCTATTTTTGCCAACTTTGGTTGTGTTTTCGTGTCTTAATCGGTCAACTTCAATACAATATTTTGCTGCATTTTGATGATTCGATTGTATTTTTGTGTTTGGTTTTCTATCCTGTCTTTCGCGTATAATGCGAGGATAGTTTACTGTCAGACTGTCGCAGGAATAAAAATGACGAGTACAACATTAAGGTATACTGATATAATTTGAAAGTGCCAGTATTGCTACACACTAGCCTTAAATTATATTTCAGTATGGCGCACTATCAAATTCCAAGATTTTTCCTCCATTTGGTTCAATTAAACAAACACTCCATGTGTCTCATAAACAAGGGGCATTTGGCACCACGTCAGATCACGCCATGCTTGTCTCAATAATAATCAAAACTAATCGGAGCCCTCATGTGACCAAATTTGCCGTTTTTTTGCTCTCGAATGCCAAATTGATACAACAGTGACTCACTAATTACAAAATTATGAATAGTTGTTATTTGCTGATTTGGATCATGTGCACACCGTATTTCCATAGGTTATCTGAATTTTCAAGTCTTAGGGCCATTATTGATTCCATTATTTTTACATTATTCAGTCGTGAAATAAAACTTTCAGCCAAAATAGGGAATCTTTTGACTGGCTACCTAATTCCATACAATTTATTTTGTTTCATCTAATTCCATACAACTTATTTGTTTCATATTTTGTTGTTAATGCAACTTGGATGGGACTTTTCATCTGGGCTGGTGCCGTCTTTAAACGTCTTTATAAAGAAACTCAGAAGAGTTATGAAAATGATCAGTTCAAAACTAAGTATCCTAACTAGAATTTGTAGTTTATCCATCTCATACATGAAAGCATCAGCGAATGGCGTGGTGTGCTTAACGTTGTATTGCCTGGTGTGCTTAACTGTACATTGTAATATGTACAGATGTACCTATGATATTATGAAAGCTTTGGCGTATTGGGGGATAAAACTGTAAAATAAAACTGTTTACAGAATCGGGAAAGTGAACTAAAATCTAGGTTCAAAATGGACAGATTTTAGATTAAGAAGGTGTTGTCAAAAGAACTAGTACATGTTTGCTCACCCAAGTGTATTCGAATACACATAAAATACAATTAACATCATTCTATTGGCCTGCTAAGGCAAAAATCGAAAAAGTGCCAATAATAAATAAAAATAAAATTTCACCAAATAAGTTTTTGTTCTAAAAAAAAGGTTATTTTATATTTTTTGCAGTCTTGCATTTCTCTTATTCTAGTATCTGCTAGTTAGGAAAAATGGCGGAGGGAATGAAGATTGGGGCGAGGGTTAATATTATTGGAAAAAATTTGAAAGGAACAATTGCTTACATTGGCGCAACGATGTTCGCAAGTGGGAAATGGATCGGCGTTGTTCTGGATGTTCCTAAAGGAAAAAACGATGGCACAGTGCAAGGGAAAAGATATTTTGAATGTGGAGAGAATTTCGGTGTCTTTGTTAGACAGCAACATATTAATGTGGTTCCGCAAGATTCTGGCGGAGAGCAGGCTAGTGAATTAAAGACTCCTAAGTCTGTCTCTAAGAATGTAAAGAGGGTTTCAGAACCTGGTGCTCGAGCTCCGAGCCCTTCTCAACTTCCTACACCAAGCTCGAAAACATCAAGCCTGCCGATTCCATCATCGTTACAAAAACCTTCAGCAAAATCTGGGATTTCACCATCAAGTAGCAGAACACCGGCACCAGTATCTTCTGCTCCAGCTCAAGAAGAAACAACTGAAGCTGTTGCAATGCCTCAGCATCATGAACCACAGCCATCTGCGCTTTCAAGCATATCTGCACTGGCAGGGGGGGTATCAATGGCGGAAGTTGAAATGTTAAAAGCTCAAGCTAAGGATTGGAAAGACAAATTCGAAGCGATCAGATTGAAACGACAAGCGGATAGGGACAAATTGAAAGATCTAGAAAAATCAAAGCTTCAAGTACAACAGTTAATGGAATTTAAGAACCGCATGAGTGAACAAAATCAAGATTTATCGAAGCAACTTCGGGAAGCTAAAAAGGAAGCGAAAGAAGCTGTCGAGTCTAAGGAACACTACATAGAAGAGATGTCCGACGTCCATGAAACTGTCGAAATGGCGACCCTCGATAAAGAGATGGCAGAAGAAAAAGTTGAAACTCTTCAAGTTGAAGTTACTTCTCTCAAAGAAAGGGTAGAGGAATTACAAACTGATTTAGAAATCATGAAGGCGGAGATTGAAGATAAAGGATCCGATGGTGCCGCGTCCAGTTATCAGTTAAAACAACTCGAAGAACAGAACGCTAGATTGAAAGAAGCGTTGCTGAGATTGAGAGATTTATCTGCTGCAGAGAAAACGGAACGGTTAGGAATGGAGAAACAAATTGAAAAGAAAACAAAAGAACTAGATGAAGCATTGAACAAAAAAGAAAAAATCTCCGCTGAACTGGAAAAAGCGGAATCTGTTATCGATGAGTTAAAAGAGCAGGTGGATGCTGCTCTCGTAGCGGAAGAAATGGTTGAAGAATTAACAGATAAAAACTTAACTTTGGAAGAAAAACTCGCCGATTATGAAGAACAAATTCATGATTTAGAAACGATGAACGAAATGAATGAGGAATTGCAAGAAAATGCTCGAGAGAACGAAATGGAATTAAGAGAGGAAGTTGATCTCGCTCGATCGAACATGAGAGAAGCAAGACGAGAGACTGAGGCAGCGAACGAAGCGATTAATGATTATCAGGATACCATCGGGAAATTCCGCAAACTTGTGCAAGAGCTACAAGAAGCAAATCAAGATTTGCGTCAACAAAATTCAGATGATGGCAAACCTGAAGAACCGGAAATACCGGCCCCTGCTTTCAATTACCAAATTAAAATGGGGGGAACAAAAGCTGCTGCTCGCTCTATAGATCTCGATTTGCGAAAATTGGAAGCGCAACAAGCGAACGAACATGTTAAATTTTTATCTATGTTTATGCCTGATTTGTTCTCGAAACGTGGTGGAGATAACGACTGCGTTCAGGTTTTACTGCTGGTTCAACGAGTTGCTAGAAAAGCTGAAATAATAGCTAAACATGTTGCGGATCGTTTCGAGGTTTCTGTGGCTGTTGATAACGTGGCTGATTATCGCGGAGCAAGAGGAGAGCAGTTAACTTTTTCTACAGGATTTGTAACCACATTAACACAACTTCAAATTCTTATGGAGAAATTTGAAACTGCTTTGGGACATTGTTCCGTTGAGCTTTTTCAAAAAATTGGAACTTTACATGCTGAGATGTCTCCCCATGAGTTGGTTCTGGACGTCTTAGCTGAACAACTTCGAAAAGATACTTTGGACGAAACTACGAAAGTTGACCAACTTATCAAATCAGTAGACTTTTTCAAGCATTTATACAGTGTACACTTAAGTAAAGAACCATATTTGGATTGTTGGAAGCTTATTGATGAATATATCAACCAATCTACAGCTCTTCTACAAAATATTCATAATAACGCCTCAAGAATGAAGTCTTATTTGAAGACAGGTCAAGAAACAAGCGACATTGGCCTCCTACTTCGTGATATTGACACAGCTTCTTCTGACGTGAAACAATTTTGTAAGAAGTTACGTCGTCGAATCCCACAACCTCCGGGAGGAGAGGACGGAAAAATGCAGTCAAACAAATTACCAATGCTTAAATTTAGTCATGATACTGTTGGTAAGATCCAAGAAAGTGAAAACAACCTTTTCAAAATCTCAGTCGCATTAAATACTGCAATAAGTCAGTGTTCACTTCAATCTGGTCCTGATTACAGACAACTTTCTCACCAAGAACTACAAGCAATTTTTGAAAGATCAGCCAAGCCTGTATTTACCACAGAGAAAGATGGTTATGAAGGTGTCAGACTATCTATAGGGAATGTAATGGCAACAATGAATTCACTTATTACTTCTCTACAAGAAGGGGAATTTGATACAAAAGAGAAAAGACCGGAGGTGACACCACCAGTTAAGAAACGCGCCCAAGCTGTTAAATCTGAAATAACAGACTCTGAAGGGCTTGCAACGAAATTAAGCGATAAGGATACAGTAATTCAAGAACTAAGAAAATCTTTGAAACTGAAATCGGCTGAAATGGGGGAAACGAAAATCAGAATTGGAATGCTAGAGAGAAAACTAGAAAAAAGTGGAAAATTTGGAGAAGAACAAGTCAGCAGATTGCAACAAGAAAACGATAACATGAAAGAAGAATTGAAAAAGAAAGATAGAGAATATGATGAAACGTTAGACACTCTTCAGCATGACATTGACACGCTCGAATATGAAAAGTCCGAACTTAAGCAGCGTCTTATCGCACAATCTAAGCGCTCGTACGCTGATGTAAAAGGAGATACAGACCGCGCATCACCTTTGAAATCAAATATAGCTTCACTATTAGCTGGAGCTACGACAGCGTCTGGTGGGACGCCAGGTACTCAGATTGTCGTTGAAGACTCTCCGTTAATGAAAGAACAAATTCAAGCACTTGAAGTCGCGTTGCGATCCCTGAGAGCAGAAAAATACAAACTCTTAGGCAAGAGTTTACATGATAGAATGAAGAAATTAACTCCAATTAACGTCCAGCGAAAAACAAAAATGGAAAAAGATGAAACTAATACTGAGTTACGAAAACTTCATCTTAATCTTGAAAAATTGAAAGAGCATGTTGTATCAGTCGTTTGTCCAAAAGTTGTGGACATTAGTATAAAGAAATCTGGCGCGGAATTGATCGGAAGCAAGTCACCATCTCAACAATTGGTGCAAGAGCAACTAAAATTACAAATAGCAAGAGAAAAAGTTGCTGAATTACAAATCAAAGCTGGCCAACTTATGGCGGCAACTAAAATGGGAAACCGCGTGGAACGACAGTTCACTTCGTTCCCCACCACTGAGTTTTCAAAGAGTTTGCTCACAGCCGGTGCAGTGGAGATAGGACGACTCTCACTACCGTCAGATTCATCTCAGAAAGCTCAACAGTCATTCAAGCCATTAGTGCTGCAACCTGAAGAGCTGATGCAACTTCATAACAAAGTTGTCCAACCATATTTAATACAACAGTAATAATTAACTTTCCAAATTGAGAGAGAATTTAAAATGCACATTTTTTTCTTGTTGAAGCGGGTCTGTTTCAATTACTATTACCGGTATATATTACTTTCATTATTTATTTGAATAATTAATTTGGGTACTGTTTACCCCAGCTATCATAACGCTATTCTATTCTGTTTGAATTCCTGAATTAATTTTTTTTATGTTCAATTAGAATTTAATATTTAGCTTGATACATATTTTCATTTACTTTCTAGGGCTGGGCATTTTCTTGGCGAGTATTCATTTAGTTTGTGATCAGTCTATATGATTTGATTGAATCGATTCACTTTTCTTAATTGCTATTCACCCACAAGTACCAGCAATTATAAATATATACCCAAAATGCCATTACTTAACTTCCTTTGTTTATATCCAGCACTGATGGTACAGTACAATAGCCTGCTAATCATGACGAATTTTCAATTCACGCATAATTACATTATGAATTGAATGGTGGCAATTTTAGTTGAATAAATAATTTGGATATATTCTCTCATCCCTAGTTATAACATTATATCTAGCGCAGTGGTTCTCAAACTTTTCAGGTCACGCCCCTTTTTGCACACCCCACCTCAATAATAACTAGCTAACAATGAGCTGCGAATAACAGATAGAACCGGGGAAAGTATGTTTCTTTCCAAAAACACGTTGAAAATGTGTACATAATAAAAAAAATATGAATATTCAAAATAAGACAGGTAAGATCATATGTACCTGTAATAATTTTTTTTTTTTTAATTGGCTTCACGCCCCCTCAAAAAATTGTCTTCGGCCCCCCCTGCGGGGCGCATCTCACCGTTTGGGAACCACGGATCTAGGGTCAATCAATATTTACTTACACTATGATTTATATTCTCAGTAGCTCTCATGGCACTTTAGTGGGCAGCCCATAATTTCGCTCACAAACCAGTCCCCTTTGTTTCAGAGTGAAAGCTCTGAACTTTGCTTGAAGTAAATATCCTTTAAAAATCCATGACTGTAAAAATAGTGGTCGTTTAGTTGTCTATTTATCGTCATTAAAGTGTACATCTATATTATGTATGGTGCTTGCCATAAATGTATTATTTGTTGGTTGGCAATGTCATCCATCGAATAAGAGCTCAATTTACGACAATTTTTTCACACTAAACAAAGTGCAACTAACTTTTTCACTCAAACAATTCAGATTTGTCAAGCATAGTCACTGCATAAACTGTGCTTAAATTTGTTAAAAAATTATGAATTTCTGATCGGATTCCAAATAATTTTCTTTGGCCTTCCATGGTTGAGATTTCATCTTCATTAAGTGTCACTTTATAGTTATTATAGCCCCATATAGTTCATCTGTCAGTACTCGTATTATATACCTATTTTGTGTATTTTCATTGCTTGTAATTCATTTTGTTCCAAAACAAAGTTCCTTTGCTTTAGGGTATATACCGCATGCAGTGTTTCAGTCCTGTACAGTCACCTATTTATCAATTGAAATCACTTAGAATATTGTTTACAATCTTTGTTAGGCTTTGTATTATCCGCCACTTGACATAGGGAACTATTCATCTTAAAAAAAATTTGTTTACATCCCGGGTGAGGTGGTGGGCTAGTATTAGTAGGCTAATAATTACCAGAGTTCGAGCCAGAAATTCTCGAATATAGTTAGACAAACATCCTAACTTCCAGACCATCATACTCATTGTGGAGGCAAAATTAACGAATATATTCTGAAGGGGTTTTAATAATTACTGAAAACAACAGAAAGACACAGTTTGGGAGAATTTATCGAAGTTCAAAACTGAGGTCGAATCCAATCTTAAAGGACATATATTTCACATTCGAAATAGCATGGCAAAAAATGAGCATTATTAGGGCAAGAACTGAGAGGAAGTGTTTTTCGGCTCTAGTGATTAAAGCGCCCATTGTTAGTCTTTTTCCGGTTTTTTTCAGTAATTATCAATTCCCCCAATTTTGTTTCTCCCCACATACATTTAAAGATATTGGTTCTAATACTTGTTTAATTGTGTATTTAAATATAGCATAACTGAGTTATAGTTAGTTACATGGTCTAGAAAAATCATGCTCTCACTGGTAAAGAATGCTGTTACTTTGCAACGAGTTTGCTTCGGGCATTTAAATGCTAAATTGAAACTGAATAGCGTGAATTTATTATCGACCAATCAAAAAGCTGCACACCTCTCCACAACTGGTATAAGGAACTCTGTTTGGGAAGAAGACTGGGCTGCTCCAGTGCCAGATCGAGAATTTTATCGTCAACATCCACCAGAGGAGGGAGATGCGCTCTACAGAACGAATGTTCGGGCAGCTCCAACGCGACATTTTTACTCGTATTTTTACGATCCCGTGCTTCAGAAATTTGAAAAAATGATTTTGAAAAAGGGACAGGGATATACAGCTTACCAAATATTAAGTAATACTTTGCGAAAAATAAAATTGACGCAGGTGACAAAATATCACAGAGCGTCTGAAGAAGAAAAGTTGGATATTGAAACGGACCCCGTTGTTATTTTTCATCAAGCGATTCAAAACGCCACTCCAGCGATGAGTTTAAAACGAACTGTCAAGGGTGGGTCGGCATTCCAGGTCCCCGTTCCCATTTCAGATGATAAAAAGTTTTTTTTGACGTCAAGCTGGATTTTAAAACATTGTCGACAGCGCAGGCAAAGGACGCCAATATCAGATCGCTTGGCTAAGGAAATACTAGCCGCATATAACAATGAAGGAGTCGCAGTAAAGAAAAAGCAAGACCTTCACAGACAAATCCTTGCCAACAGGGCTTATGTTCATCTAAGATGGAAATGAAATAATGAATCAAACAATTGTTGAATTAGGATTTATTAATGCTGGGGTCTGGTCCAGGGGGGGGGCAAGGTTTTTGGACCAGGAGCCATGCTAGACTGGATGGCCATGCTGTATTACAAAAGGAAAAGTTGAAAACAATAAGCCTCGTGCCAAAACTAAATTTAATCGCAATCTCAAATTCTTTGAGCTATTTTTTAGCTAAAACATCAAAATTTAGTTTAGTTTGGTTGTTGGAGCATCAGGTGGGCCGGATTTGGCCCGTGGGCTGTAGTTTGCCCATGCCAGGTCTAGGCCATTGATATTTCACCATTTGTATGAAATATTCAGTTGATTGGGGATCTATTTAAACCTCATGAATGCCTTTTTTTATCATTATTGTAAACTCCTTGTCTGGGAAAATCTTGACTTTTCGGACAATAAGGAAGTCTGAAGCAAAACGTTTCAGCCACTTACTATGAATTATTTAACAGTTTTTCGCTGAGATAAATTTACAAGCGTGTAATGTGTGTCTTTTCTAGTATAAACTCGTTTGGCGTGGGTCTTGAAACTAACTGTGTTCAAACTATTAAATGTTGACCCTTCCAAGTTTTGTTTGATGTGTTCAGCCAGTACTCTCGTAGTATGTGTACCAGGTTAGGGTTAGGCTTTAATTTTATTCCGATTTGCCTCATTTTAGTTCGGGGACTGTCTGTGTTAGCCAAGTGAATATCTCCCTGCTCATAGGTTTCCGTCCCTTTACACAACTTGATGTAAAGTAGGCGAACAATATTAGTATTTCCATATTGGTACACACACTTCTGGAGCGTCGTTCAGCCAGCTGTGTGGAATTTATACCCCTTCTCTCCCAACAATTACTGTTCACTATTTCCATTTTTTTTCGTATTTCAATTTTAGATTTAAATTTGTGAATTATTATGAACAAAAAAATGGTTTTAAAATAGTTTTGACATGGGAAGGTATGATGGTAGATTAAGAAAAGAGAGAAAGACAAGTACAATACAACACAATGAAGTTTCTTCTAAACAAACAATTAGGAATAACATTAGAACCATCTTGAAGAAAGACGCGAGCTTACTGACGAAAAACGAAAAAGAATTACTGACTAAAAATGAAGATTTTGTTCAAAAATTGGATAAAAATCAAAAAGCAGCAACTCTCAGAAAATCTAGACTTTTGGAGATTGAAGATGACGCTTGTATTGTGATGGAACAATGCAAAAAACTTGCAGAGGCGTTAAAAACGAACAAGCATGTAATTGTATACACGGGAGCTGGAATCAGCACTTCAGCAAATATCCCCGACTTTAGAGGAGCGGAAGGAGTTTGGACCAAGTTGAGCTCAAATGTGAAAATCAACCTTGAGCATAGCTTGACTAAAGCGGAACCCACTGTCGCTCACATGGTACTGAAGAAACTGTATGATGGAGGTAGGTGGGCTTTTATATATCCAGTTTGAATAAAATTTGAGGTCAGAAATAAAAATAATGATTAATCTAATCTACTGTTGTTATACAAGGCGCCCAAAAAATTTCGCCCGATTTTATAGTAATTACAATTGTAGTTCTCAATTATCATACAATAAAATTTATTTAAACTCAAGATTAGTATTGCTATAAAATTAGGCAAAGTTTTCTGGACACCCTGTATATAGGCTACATATTGGAATAATTCATTCGAACAGTTTATTTCCATATATAACGTAGAGAATGTAAAATAATGTACCTATATTTAATTTATTTTGATCCATTTTGGACTCCCTGAAAAATTGAAAATGACCAAGTCATAGTCTATGTTTAGTCATAACACCTGTGCAATAAAACTTGAGTTGTTGTTGTTGGATTGTTCTCAATGTACAACGTTATTTTGTTTTTCCATATTATTTGTAAGGAGTAAAATACAAAACACATATTTGTTTTAAATCTCAGGAATTGTGAAACACATTGTGTCTCAAAACTGTGATGGACTTCATCTTCGTAGTGGTCTTCCTCAGAATGCATTGTCTGAAATCCATGGAAATATGTATCTAGAAATTTGCACTGAATGTGATAATAAGGTATGGATTGTTGGAAATAAATATTATATTGAAACTTTTGTACCTTTAACTAATGCTGTTGATGTTCCTGAAACTGTTAGAAGCCTAAGAAAAACATAAGTTTTTGTAGTGAATTGGTCATATTGAAAATCGATGAAATAAACTGAAATACAGTTTTGAGCCACTCGAAACGCAGCCTATTTTTTGCTGAAAAATGATTTTTTAGTAAAAAAATAAATTAGACGATTAGATAAGATATCAGATTCCGAAATATGAGAAGTTACTGTAGAAACTGCCAGAAGCACAATACAACTCAAATTTCCAACTTCCGGTAATGAATTGGATTTTGAACATACGCATGTGGATTTACTCAAAAATCATCAATAAATAAAAATAATATACCAGTAGTAAAACAATCTCAAATTTATCGTTGGTTCAGATTAAAACGGGTCGGGAACCCATGGCTCGCGAGCCATATATGGCTCTTTTGGTAACGGCATATGGCTCCCAGAAAAATCTATTATTCTAAGATTAAGCTTACTATTGTTACTAGACTTCAAACTATTTTATGGCCAAATTTGGCAAAAAATTCCCAATACGTTTGACAACGCGGGCCCAGCGCATGTCTATGTTATGTAAGAGAATTACCAGACAGGCATTGTGACAAAACATGGGGATTCTGGAACATATATTGTGACATCACAAAACGATAGAGTTTTAAAATACTACGGAAGATGCCTAAACGAAAAAGGGTGATGATTATCGTAGATTTCAACTTGGGCTGCATGTGAGCAACCGTTCAAGGCCCGCAGCGACAACATGCAGCATCAGAAGTCACATTAAATGTATATTGACATGGAATGTGTTGACTTTTGAGTAAACGCTTCAGGCCTGATTAAGTGAAGAAATGTTATATGGCTCGCACGGAAATGCAATTGAAAATATGTATATTTTAGGGCTCTCTTGACCAAAAAGGTTCCCGACCCCTGGATTAAAACCTCATAATCTTCCGAACCAAATGCATCCTAAAATAATATCTCTCAAAATAGAATAAAGAATACTTTCTAAATTAATTTATGTTCTATTTAAAACTATTTATTCGAAAAGAAAGTAAATATTGATCATGTGGTGACCATGACCATTATATAAAAATCATTGCTATTCCATGTGTTTCTAGATTTATCGCATTTTTGATGTGACTGAAAAGACTTCTCTTCGTCGACACAATACCGGAAGGATTTGTGAATCATGTCAGGAAGAGTTGAAAGATACGATTGTTCATTTTGGAGAGAGAAGCAAGTTAAGGTATTTTCAAAGTAACACTTCTACAGAATATAATTCTGTTCAAGAACCTGCTATTGAACTATCCAACTGTGCTTGCTTTCTCCTTGTTTGGAGTGATGGTATGGAAACATATCGTAAAAAATTGTGTACCAAAATTGACGGATCAATTTTTTAGTTCACTTATTGACTATGGGGGAATAAGAACTTACATAATAACGTTTCAGACTCATCGATATGGCTTAGACATGTGGTTTTTGTTTATGGTTTTTTTTGAAAAAAAATCAATTACTCAGATGTTAAAAAGCATTCTGAGAAGAGGAAGACTAATTATATTATATGACGAGCCATTCCTTTCTCATATTCATATGTGTGCAGCACTAGTGTGAAAATGGCTATTCAATGTGTACTCCCGTAGTATATGTACCAGGTTAGGGTTAGGCCATAATTTTATTACAATTTTCCCTTATTTTAGTTCTATTAAGAGTTCGGGGACTAGTTAAGTGACTTCCGTAGTATTTGTTCCTGAAATTATGGCCTAACCCCAACCTGATACACATATTATTTTCTGCTGTCCGCCATCTTGGTTCACATACTACAGGAGTGCCATTTATTGGCTTGTCCCTGTCAACATAGCACATGGTGCCCCCATTATTCAGACAATCAATGTTTAATATTATCATCGATTTTAGGTGGCCCCATAACTGGCGTGGTGCTGTTGAGAACGCTGAGAAATCAGACTTGATTCTCTGCCTTGGTTCAAGCTTGAAGGTTCTCAGATCTTACAAACATCTGTGGATGACTGACAGACCGAAGCATAAGCGGCCACAACTGTATATCGTTAACTTGCAATGGACACCCAAAGACACTCAGGTAAGAATATGAAGTATTGTTTTTCTTCAAATCTGGACTCCTAATGAATGGAGCAAAACTCCAGTGGTCCTCAATCTTCTACTGACTGCTTGCCACTTTGTGTTTTTCACTCTGATAGCGTACCACCGATAACTTCCCAGCTTTTGGAGCGTGGAACAATGGCACAGTAAACGTGATATGGGAGTACTTTATATTGTGGCACTACATCTATTTTCAGAGCTTCTCTTAGAGCACAATGGAAAGAGAAAGCGTTGCTGGCTGCTGCCCTATTTTAGCCATCTCAAATTATTCAAAGATCCTCAGTGACCACACTTACCAAAATGGCGAGCGTCTAACGTAGGCTTACCATATATACCATATATAGGCTTACCATACCGAGACGATGCAGATCGGACAAACTTTGATTTAGATTCTGAAACTTGGCAATATCTGAAACTCCTATCATATCTTTGCGAGTGGATACCGGGTATCTAATATAGCCATGAATTATTTTGCACGAGGGGTCGCCAAACATCTTTTATAAGATTCATAGGTAAATTTGATGCTTCTATTAAAAAAGTTTGTTTACGGATGCTATGCTGATGATCGGGACAGCTTGTCAAACTGGGACGTATGTAGCCGACTATCTACAGTAATTTGCCCCTTCTCCGCATAAAAATTTATGTGTCGACTAATTATTTGCAACTTTCTCTGAATTCTCGTGATTTTTATGTTTACAGGCTTCTATGAAGATCCACAGCCGAATAGATTTTGTCATGGAAACAGTATGCAATATACTTGGACTCTCTATCCCCACCTATTCTAGTGAACAGGATCCTCTGTACTCTCTCGCGACACCTAGCAACTACGAAGGCCAGAGAATGCCCATTCCTCTAACATATTTAGAAAAATTTGAAAGTATTAAACCAGCCAATTTTACTACTAAAGATAAAGCAAAAAGCACCTTAGAACATTTTCAGTGCACCAACAGCATAGATCCTGTTATTAAAAATGAGTTTGGAACTATAAAAATGTTTCCAGAGAAAGCCATACTACCTCATACCCCTTGCACAACAGATGACAACCCGACACAGTATTCTCAGGAAAGTGATGTGTCTTCCACCTCAACCAATGCAAACAATGTACCAGCATGGTTCGGAAAAGGCGTGAAGTCAAAAATCAATTCTATCAAGAAAAAAAAAAGATGGAAAAACAGGAGGAAATAATATTTTTGTGCAGATATGTCTCTCGCCCATTTGTCAACCTATCTTCCTGCACACAGTATACCTTTATCTCCTAGCATTGGTAGTAGCTGTTGTATATTTATCCCAGGGGAGAGAAAAGAGGATACGACGGCTTAATCATATGGCGAACCACGGCCTCTCGTCCAGTTACCAGTCCATGTCGGGTATGGGATTAGTTAGCCATTATTTGTTTAGGGAAGCTTGTTAGTTCTCTTCCAGCAAGTTATCCAAGGAATTGATATCATGGCCCTGTTCTCAGTGCTTTACACAAACACAAGAACAATAGGGCAGGATTTTTGAATTTATCATTTGCCTCCACAGAGGTAAAATTTGATAAAACTTAGCATATGGCAAAGTACAACCCCTCGCTCTGTTACCTGTTTGAATGTAGGGATAGCACACCAGTTTATTCTTATTTAAGCAGAATGTTGGGCATTCCATCATTTCTAATATCATCCAGTCAATTTGCGAACACACTCAGGATATTCAGCTGTGTGATACTGATAGCAAGCGTGCCCTCAATGCATATCATGCTGGACTCCTCGTAGCTGCAGGGTGGTTCACGTAACTGTTATGGCTTCTTCCACCATCAAGTGGTCCATCCATCTGAAACAAATAACTGGCCAACTAATCCCAAACCTGACGTTAACTGGTAACCGGACGATAGGCCGTGGTAATGTGATTAAAGTAGTCTTATTGACTTTCCCCTCCCCCTTTTAACAATCAACATGCATCAGCTCAGGGATGAATTTGTTTTACAGCCTTTTTATATTAAACAGAATAGCATTTTATTTCTTGTATGTAGGACTTTGATTAAACCAGGTTTATAACAGTGTGTTTTAAAACGTTCCATTTTATCTTCTATTTTATTATTTATCATTCTCTGAAATGGTCTTATAATTTTCTGAGCCTGGTAATGGTACGGATTTTAATGAATAAATAATGTTTTGCATTCCCCACAGTCAAAAAATTGCAAATGCCAGTTTATTCTAGTTTATTTCCTCGGTAATATAAAAATACCAGGAAAGGTGATCAAGATTTTTACGGGTAAGGAATCCAGCTGACTCAAGGTGGCTATAGAGCAAGGGTGACCAAGGTTTTTGGTCTCGAGGCCAAAAATTTGCCCATGTCTACTGGCGGGCCATGTAAGTGTGACCTAAAAGTTACATTTTTGAAAAATATTTGCATTCTTGCAAAAGTGGAAGACAATAAGCCTCATGTCAAAACTAAATTAATCGCGCAATCTTTGGCCCGCGGGACGTAGTTTGCCCTTATCTGCTATAGACCTACTGCACACAATTTTTCTGAATCTGATTAAGATAGGATTCTACATATGTATCTCGGGAGAAGAGAAAAGTTTATACCAGGGCTTGAAAATATGGGTAACCGAGCACTCTCTATGCCTGAAATTTTTTCAGATGCGTGGACTTGATAGTGAATGGAGCCATAGCGACCAGCGTTTTCGTGAACCAGGCGCATCCAACGAAGGAGCGGACCCGCTCTGGGTAATCGGAGGTAGATGAGGAGTGTGTTCGTGATGCACGATGTGGCATAAGTTTTGAATATTTATCCCGGGGGAGAAATAATCCGATAAAGACTTCTTAAGAATGCGGCGAACCACGGCCAGTCCATTTCTGCTGTATGATTAGTTAGCCAGTTATTTTTATTTTCAGATGCATGAAAAACTATTTTGCTACTATCGTGTTTCCCCGAAAATAAGACCTACACTGAAAATAAGCCCTAGTCTGAATTTTAAAAATGATTTTAATATGAGCTCTCCCCTTAAAACAAGACCTAGTCAATAAAGCGAATTTTTTCACCTATTCGATAGCAAGAAATCTTTCTCTTATACCTTTTAAATGATCAATGATATATGTTTTGCAGTTATTTGAATGAAAACGTGTTATTTATGAGTAAATGGATATCGGTTTACTTATTTGTATATTTAAAAATCTCGTAATGTTTTTTTCTGTTAAATGAAAATATAAGACATCCCCCAAAAATAGGGACCTAGTGTTATTTTTCAGAAGAAAATTGAAATAAGACCCAGTCTTATTTTCGGGGAAACACGGTAGAAGTTCCAAGCCACCATTAACCAATAATTATAACCCTACCTGAGGGTGTCACTATATCTTTTAAAAGTGTGTTGCCTTGTAAATATTATAATCCAATTCTATATTTGTTCCAAGTAAACTCAAGTACTGTAGCCTTACATAGACTTATTCGAAGCGAAAGACGCATAAACACGTTGTATAAAAATGTTTTGACCGCTAGAATAGTTTTTGAAATCTGGCATCGCTTTAATCAAGGTCTTAGTTTATGCATGTACTGGATTTCCTTGTTGTTACGTCATAAATAAAAAGTAACGACTGAAAAATAAGCCATTTCATTTCGATAAAATTAATGCGGGGGATCGTATGACTAACTGTAAGTACAATGGATATTACTTTACCCTGTTGCCTATTTTGGATATAAACGCTCTGCGGAAGAATTCTCAGAATAAATTGACCAGAGTAATTCTCGAAATAAAAGTGCAAGATACTCGGATTTGATTCGTGAGTAAAAGTAGACTATATTTTCGAATGTGTTACTGGTACTGGGAACGGACAGTTATGATTCGTAACCAGAGCGTCCTCCGGGTATATGAAGCAGTGTCATTAAAGCGACGGCGCTCCAGAAGTGTGTCCACCAATATGAAGGTAACTAAATTTGTTCGCTTACTTTACATCAAGTTGTGTATAGGGACTGATTACTATGAGCAGCGGGTGTATTCACTTGGCTAACATAGGCAGTCCCCAAACTCGTAATAGAACTAACATATGGAAAATCGGAATAAAATTACGGCCTAACCTGGTACACATACTACGGGAGTACCGAAGCGACAGTAATAAATAAAAATCTGAGCGCAAGCTGTTTCAGCCCCGAACTATTCCAGTCGACGCCGTCACCTAGTCGTGGCGTACAGGAGCGTAGCCAGGAATTTTCAAGAGGGGGAGGGGGTTCTGAAATTGCTAATAGCCTTGTTAGACCCTAACAGCTAGCGGGTTCGGAGGTCAGAAAACGGGGGTTGGGTTTCCAAGAGTCTTGGGGGTCTATAAAGCGTTTCATGCTACGAAAAATTGCTATGTACGATACAAAAAAGTTTTTTGCATTTTAAAAACGGGGAGGATTCCGACAACCCCCTGGCTACTCTCCTTGTATACCAACCTGTATTAGATATTTTAATTGTTATGACAATATGCTTAAAGCAAGCTGACGTCCTTTCACTCCGAACTTAGGGAATACTGAGCGAAGTTATGGGCACCCACTGAAGTGCCAGCAGTTGCTAAAATTTCATAAAATTATGGCCTATATTGCGCGATGGCGTAGCGAGATTTATAACACCTATCATCAATACGATCAAAAAAACAGCTAAGAGTAGTGAATTCCACATACATAAGTGTGGGTTATGACCGTTAAATCTAAAATTGCTACATGTAATGATAAAACAGTTTTATAAAACCCCGTGGACTGACGTGGTAGCATAGGTTACCTGATTAACCTCCAGTCCAAACAAAAATGTACAAAATTAACCTTCAATAACAAGCCAATCACAATAGTCACAAACTGAAAGTACAACAAGAAAACAGAAGTATATTGTTTCAAATTTGTTAAATACAATAAAAATATTAACATATATTGCAAGTTCATGGAAAAAAAAATGAAACTATTAGCGCCTGCGCAAAAGATAGGCTAACTCTGTTTACAAATGAAAAAACGCTATCTCATGGTGAGGAGAAGTAAATAAAAAATAACCTATTACTTACTGCCTTTAGTTTTGATAATGGTTAGAATCTTTTCTAGGTAACCTAGACCCTGTAGCCGTTTTCTAGAATTTACATCCGTTATTTACCAAGAATAGAATATAAGAAGAACTGACGTGATAGTTGATTTTTACTGTTTATTGATTTGGTCCATTCTTCGCCCTGAAAATAGATCTGGACAAGTATTTATCAATTCGCTTACTTAGTGGTAATGCCGAGTTTAGAAATTTAGTTGTATATTATACGCTGTCAAATATAAACGTCCGATTGCAGAAATTTCGTAGACCCTTTAATCTATGCATTATATTTATACAGCTCAATGATACATTTGCATATTCTATATATTATAAATAGTTCAACTCAGTTAGTAATTAATAACGCAACGGAAGTTCGAAGAAATTTTGATGAATAATTATATCATACTGGACTGCTTTAGTAATTAATCTAGCTATATTGGCAAATTAGCTGAATCACGATGAAAATCAAGACATTGGGTTGCAAGGCCAAACTAGTCTTGATTACTATTCTCGAACTGGCGGGTTTTGTATAATTAACAATAATTGATTTCCTCACGCCGTTAGCCAAGAGTTTGTTTTAAACACTTCAATGAGCGTTTAACTGAGTTCGCCCGTGTGGGAATACAACTAAATTTGTTGCTCCTTCTTTATTATGTCTCGAAATCGCTGTCCATGAACATTTATAGACACGCAGTTTCGATACTATACAAAGCACTTTCAAGGGTTAAATACATGTATAGACGTGATCTATCAAAATGAGGCATACTTGTCTTCAAGCAATATGTAAAACGACAATTTACAGTGTGCAATGATCTCTTAGAACGTCATCAATCACGTGACTTAATCGTTTGTTCATATTTGGCGATTGATTGCTTACATTTATATTTTATTTCTCTGCACAACGTGAGTTTCTGTTTTCGTGGATACAACAAGATTCGTGTTAAAAAGGTATTCTTTTCCACGGAGTTTTACCACCTTGCAGGAATTGACCATTGCGGAACAAACAGCGCATGTTCAATCATTTTCTCGCCTCTTTTGAGGTTACTCCTTATGAAGCTTACGTAATGGCGTTTAGCAGCGTCTTCTGCTTAATCGCCGATTTTGTTATTTCGAAAACATTCACATTTTCAGTGATTGCTCATCTCGCTTGATTGTATCATACAATACATTTTCCACCATTCTATTGCGGTCAGGAACTGGTCCCGGAAGATTGAAATCATCATCAACGGTTTCGTATGTTGGAGGTGGTTGTCGATGTCCGTTAATTTTTTGTCTTCCCTGATTTATGTCTGTTTGTTTTGGTGTATATTTCCCTGCACTTTCCGATAGTGAAGTTCTAGTCTTTCTGATCTCGTTATCCGATCCACTTCTGTAGTTTCTTTAAAATTAAATAAAATTGTAATTTTGTTTGAGTTGAAAATTTTTATTTCATGGAAGGGAAAAGCGTCGGTAACAATACCACTTGGTTATTAGGCATAGAATTGTAATCTTTCGAAAGTTTTAGACAAAATGCCACCAAATTAATTATCAAGAACAAAATGTCATAATCTCTACTAGACACCATACCGATTGTTATCAAACACACACGAACGCAAGCGGGTACCACGTAATGTGTGTGCCCGGTTAGAGTTAGGCCATAATTTTATTCTAATTTTCCTCATTTTAGTTCTATTACAAGTTTGGGGACTGTCTGTGTTAGCCAAGTGAATATACCCGATTTGTATGTAATTCACATATACCGTGTACTAATAACTGGTATTTGATTCATCGATTTTGGTACCATATTTCCAAGCCTGGCGCCTAACCAAGTCCGAGATGAGTCAAAATTGTCTTCTGTAATTGATAGATTTTGATGATCAAAAAACAAACTTACTTTATTGACATTGCGATTATGACTATGATGCAGATGAACAATATTGCTCCCAGTGCCACGAAGATTATCAACACATGAATATCATGTAATGATCCAAGAAATCTAGAACTTTTTTGGTTTTCTGAAAAAATCAAAATAACATAATATTACGAATATATTCTAACACACAATTTCAAAATACTAAATTGTTTCGAAGTGGGTTATAGATCTAACAAAATAGCAAAGAAGATTTTTAGCTACCGATTGATTAGCTGCTTATTGTCACTCCTGACGTTTTTTGAGTTCGGTGTATTTTGGTCACCAATCCATAGATATCCCACACTAAAACTTCGTACCATACAGACGGTATGTCATATCGTAGAAATATGATGCCAACTATAGTGGCATCTGTAAGCGGATATTCGTCTATGTAGGAATATGTACAACTCGAATTCGAAATAAATTGAGCCGGGTCGAGTTTTTGAAGTGTTTACGACAAGTCGACAACAAAATATATTATCACTACCATGTAGTTATTTTAATTAATATGATTCAGCATTTGGTTTTATATCCTTGGATAAACACTGCAATCACCATACCCCGCTTCTTCGGAATTAGATAGATTTTAAGTTTTGCCTTTAGAAATACAGACCTGGGTTTGCGTTGCCCGAAGTAGTAGGTTCGTCTGATGGCAATGGTGTCGTGCTTTCTGAAACATATAAATGATGATAAATTTTTTCGTTTGCTTGTTTAGAGATACATACACGAGTCTTTGCGGATTTGATGTGTCGATCAATACTTTTATGTTAGATTGTTAGTTTGTCTATACCAGGCGTAGGCAACCTTTTACGGCTCGCGTGTCAAATTCGGCTAAATTGAACGACAAAATTCTTCCGCGCGCCGACCGAAATTGAAAACAATGCTTTGTTACTTTCAAAGCAAAAATACACAATAATAAACCCTTTAAACATGTACAGACATATTCATATTCGGGAAAAAATCAGTCCGACAAATAGATTTGATTACTTTTCTTATTCTATATCAGAGAGACTTGCTGCATTACCGCTGATAGAAATTTACATTGAGTTTATATTTTTCAACTTTCAAATATATACACAAACTACTGGTTTCGTCTTTCCGGCTACTCCTGTTACAAAACTTAATAAAGTTCATAACTGAGAACAGAGATGCGCAATTATATGTATATGAAAACATGGAGCGTAATGCAGTTGCGAAGCTTTTAAAACACGAAAATTTTCGGGAATGACATCTCAATCACGCAATAGTTCGTTTTCTGCACTTCTCTCCTGTATTCCTTTCCCTAATAGCTTATATATATTTCTTTTGACATCAATTTACTAGTACGTTAGCAAGTAAATATAACCAACATGAGCTGTATAGCTTCATAAATCAAACAGAAGTGAAGAAAAGGGGTGGCAAAGAGACGAACTATTACGCCAGAATGTAGCCAAATGAATGCTGCGCTCTTCTCGACAAAATTTCTCGAGAGTTGACTCATTTGTACGTCATAATATATTCCTTTGTAGCCATATGTCATGGAGGGACAAAAAGAGTTTAAATAAATTATCATCAAATTTAATCAGATAATTCAGAGTATTGAAACTTTTATTTGGATAATGATCTCGCTTCCGAGCCTCGCTCGCGTGCGGAATAAATGAGCTCGCGTGCCAACTTTGGCACTCGTGCCAGGGGTTGCCCGCCCTTGGTCTATACTATATAAAAATGATAATTACTGTGCGATGACGTTACTTCGCTATACAGTACAGATATTTTACGTCATTGTGATATTGTCTGGTATTTTATTTATCAAATAAATGATGGATCGATTTTCCTTTTCAACGTGACTAATAATAATAAGTAAGAATATTTCCACACGCGCTTAAATTCTGATATAATTTTCTATAATGAGATAGTTGACATGTTTCCGGAAATGATTAGTGAATGTTCATATCTACATTGCAGTCATAATTAGATTTCATCTTTATGATTTGGTGCTATGTCCAAATTTCGGATTTTATTCAAAAATAAAACAGGCCGAATAAATAATTAATTTCTGTTACGATCACAAATTGAGTTTTATATAAAGGCAGAAAATTGCGCGGTCAATTTTTTCCTGATAATTTGGCACCGCGCTAACAAAAAGCTTGATAACCCCTGGCATAGTGTATACCAGGGGTGGCCAACCTACTTGCGACCGCAATCGACTAAAATCCTCAAAATAGTGCCCGATCCACTGATCAATAATAAGGTCACGCACAAAAACAATGAGTACTGAATTTGCAGATACCTGCACATACGCATACAAAAAATTCCGCCGTTGCCAATAAGCTCGGTTCCTTGGCGCATTTTTAATGAAATCGCCATAATTTCTTTTATTTATCATGTTCCATTCAATTTGTCAATTTGAATATGTAATTGTACCTGGAGTAAATGCTTCATCATTTATTTAGGATTTCAAATCATACAATTTTGATTCGAGACCTGCCTAATTTTTATTCGTAAGTGTTGAAAATTCCTCAAAAAAACTTTGTTATGTAATCATCTATTATCTAAACAGCCAAAATAAATATTGCCAAACTATAAATGTTACATGACTGCTCAAACTTCCCAATTTACACTTTCCTCCGAGTACGATTCTTCGCTCGCTTGGAATTAGAAAAAAATGGCATTCTGATACCACTGCTACCGTTGCGAATAAAATTTATCACACTACTGTCGGAGTGAGACAATTACTTTCGCATAGTGCAGAAGTTATTGTACGATCGTACGTCAGTCAAGGCACACGATATTCGGCAAGTTCATTTTTTAACATCGGCAGCGGCGAAACTTCATTTTAGTACGTATTTAATATGCTCCTTCGGCCTCGCCCAGGCCCAAATACTATACGTGTTTATCGTACTTTGCGCATGCACAGTATACTGTATTATTCCTGTTTTAAAATACACAACAAGCGTCATGAAAATGGTTCAAGGCATTTTTTTTTGAGGTAGACCTATGTTCTCTCAACATCCGTCACGATCGACTACTCAAGACGTGGCGATCGACCGACCTATGGGCCACCACAGGTGTATACAGTGTGTGAACATACTTTTACTCCAACTGGTCCATACGCCCTTTCCTTTCAGGAATAACAATTTATATACCCAGTTAATGCTTTCGCGTATCAATCATAAAAACATACCTGGCTCAGGATAAGAACATTGAATGAATTTATATTTCATTGTGAACGATTTTGGTTCATCCTTGTAAGAGGTCACAGCAATTCTTTTTGGAAGTTCCTCAACGTTCACGAAATTGATCTTCCCATCACAATGACTGAAGTGGTTAAATAATTCCTTGTTGATGAATTTCAAATTGCAAGATAATTCTGGTGTGGCGTAGATATGACAGAACGGTGGTTCATGTTGACACGTTACTCTGTCTGTAAAATATTTCGATTATTTTGTTTCTTGAAAACAATTACGGACCTCTAAATCACATAATTATAGCGGACCATGGCCTATTATAAATTGATAATAAAGAATGCTGATAGTCATCCGTTGGTTCAGTGCTTCAAATACAATTTAGTTTGAACTAATCTATTTATTTAATTTTTAACTTCTGAAAAGTCGCTATTAAATAACGATTTTTGTAATTGTACCCAAAATAACACAGTATCGATGAAATAAATATGTGGGCTGCTTAAAAAGCGCCTTGATTTGAGATTTTGAATTATCTTAAATTGCAAATGCCATAATCAAAAATTAAATTTGGCTACTTGAGTTTCAAACTAGCGCCTTGCGACTGAGTTATAAAAATAATGACGTAGTGCTATAGTTGTCAGCGGTAATAATGTAGTCGCACTTCTGATTACTCTGCGTGGGTTCGCAGGATCGAATCACACGCGGGGTAGTAAATTATGTGCGAAAAGGCTGCTGGACTCCTCGTCACCGTAGGGTGGTTCACGTAACCGCTGATTGGTTACGGCTTCCCCTGCCATCTCTCTCATGCATTTGAAAACAAAGAACTGACTAACTAATTCTATAGCCGTGGTTTACCACATAGTATTATCAGCATTATTATTACTTTCCTCTCTCCGGGATAAGTATGTATATTCTAAACTTTATCCTAGTATCTTAGTTTGTTGCTATTACGATGTATCCGTGCTACGCCACCACTACCTCACATTGGCACAGAAAAGGAGGGAAATTGTTGATCCCCTTTTTTGAAACTTGCATTGTTCAAATACCTGGTAAATACAATCTCGCGCTGCATTCTTTTCCATTTGGTCCATCGTACGACATTCCCAATGATTTCACGTGTATCACGGCCACGAAATGTTTGCTTGGTAAGATAGGAAATTGCCATAATCGAGTATCGTTTGCAGAAAATCCAAAGTAACTTATTTCGTCCTCAAGCTCCGTAAGTTTTATTTGATACAGCGGGTAAGCAGTTGAATAAAATCCAGCCAATGCGGAATTGAACGAAACTGCAATTACAAAGTAGAAAATTCATTTAATCCTAGAGAGTCTTCGGAAAAGTGAGATCACTTTGTACAAGTCCGAGTCAGGCCTAATCTTATAGCCATTAATATGTGAATCAACAGAGCGCGCTTACCCCGCGAGCAATTTTTAGCACGCTTGATCATTCACGGTAATAGGTTTGAAACTTTGACAAACTACCGTGTGAACCTGCGGAGCGAACCGTCAGCTCCAGTGGCGCAATCGGTTAGCGCGCCGTACTTATATGACAGCTACGGAGTGATGCGGAGGTTGTGAGTTCGAGCCTCACCTGGAGCAATTTTTAGTACGCCCAATCAATCATTCACGGTGTTAGGTTCGAAACTTTGACAAACTGCCGCGTGAACATGCACGACGAACCGTCAGCTCCAGTGGCGCAATCATGTAGCGCCGCACTTATATGACAGCTACGGACTGACGCGGAGTTGTGAGTTCGAGCCTCGCCTGAAGCAATTTTTGGTACGCTTAATCTTGCATGGTACTAGGTTCAAAACCTTGACATTGTTGACAAACTACCGAACCTGCAAAATCAGTCGTCAGCTCCAGTGGAGCAATCGGTTAGCGCGCCGTACTTATATGACAGCTACGGACTGACGCGGAGTTGTGAGTTCGATTCTTGCCTGGAGCAATTTATAGTACGCTTAATCTTGCATGGTACTAGGTTCGAAACCTTGACAAACTGCCGAACCTGCAAAATCAGTCGTCAGCTCCAGTGGCGCAATCGGTTAGCGCGCCGTACTTATATGACAGCTACGGAGTGATGCGGAGGTTGTGAGTTCGGGCCTCACCTGAAGCAATTTTTGGTACGCTTAATCATTCACGGTATTAGGTTCGAAACCTTAACAAACTGCCGAACCTGCAAAATCAGTCGTCAGCTCCAGTGGCGCAATCGGTAAGCGCGCCGTACTTATATGACAGCTACGGAGTGATGCGGAGGTTGTGAGTTCGAGCCTCACCTGGAGCAGTTTTTAGTACGCTTAATCTTTCATGGTACTAAGTTCGAAACCTTGACAAACTGCCACGTGAGCCAGCAAAATAAATTGTCCGCTCAGCAATCGGTGAGCGAGCCGTTCTTGTATGTAAGATAGTTCAACAAGCTATTTCGTTTTCTATTCAACGAAACATTTTTTATCTACCAGTCAAATTCTACCGATGCCGCATACTGTCAAAAATGAACTTAGTTCTTTACTGTATCTTAACTATTTATCTTCTTTAAAGCAATGTATCAATGAATACTGAGTTCACTTACCATGAATAAGAATGAAAAAATAAATCCGATTCATTTTGCTAAATTTGTTGTACTATTTAAAGTTTATTCTAATTTGTAAGCTGAAAAGTAATACAAAATAGCTTTGATATGTATGAATAGTTTTTCTGCGCATTCTGGTGCATTTTATGATCGGCTGTTAGTACATTGTCTTAATCAGTTGTTCCCAAATAAGTTGGACCGAATAAATAATTCAAAAACGTTCCACAAGAATTGTTACCGAACGTTGCAAGGTGGGGTTGGAGCCTAATATTTAATTAAAACTTAAAAATTGGAAAATGCCTAATAATAACACAATACCAGTGAAGACTTCTGCAAAGCTTATACCTAGCCAAGACCTTTTTTTGTCACCAACGGAAAATCGCTCAGCGCCTCGCTCCAACTAGAGGGTCAATGGCCAGTTTTGAGAAACCCATGCTTTGCATTTCGCAAAGGAATATGTTAGAATTGGAAATTATATATATATATATATACTGAACAACTGTTGGCCATTCCAAAAGCTATCCACACTTATAAGCAGCAGGGCCCCGGTATGAAAACACGTTATGCAACGATTTTCTATTTTACATTTCTCGCGCAAATTTGATTATAAATACGCATAGAAACATTGTAAGTTTAAAGACATATAATCAGGTAATAGAAATCATAGACTAGTTCTGTCCAGGATATCTAAATCCAGTCTAACTAGAAAATAAAAGTACAATAGACTGCTCAAAATTCCCACCTCTTTTTACCTTATACCACGATTGCTTCTTTACCTCGAAAATTCGGACCTCCAGAAGTATATGCACCAAGATGGCGCACAACCTTAACATAGTATGTGTACCAGGTTAGGGTTCAGGTTGTGCGCCATCTTGGTGCACATACTTCGGGAGCGCCGAAAATTCTATATAAATCCAGTAACACAAACAGCCGGAAACAAACAAGTGCGCTGTTCACAAATCTTTCTACGAAATACAGTGTTGTAAAGACATAAGAAGGGTTAAGAGAGGTTCTAACTATTTAGGTGTCAATCCAATAATCACTCCGGTTATTCCACCATTCTTGCTGACTGTCTCTTTCGAATTAAGTAGATAATCGGTTTCAAAAGTTTAAGTTTATTAATTTAAGCTGGAATTTCTAATCTACCTTAAATTCTTTGAATTTTTGTACTCCCGATATTTGTTTACAATCACTGCGCGGTTTTACGAAGCTAGAAATCTGAAACGGTTGAACAAATTATCTCGAGTATCAGATGCGAAACAAAGTCTCGCACCATAAACTGTCTGAAACATCACATCATGCTTATTACAATTAAATGATCTAGAATAGTTTCTCGGTAACATGAAGCGATGGCCAATTAGCAATTGACGTGATGTTTATAAATACTTTGTATCTTTAATTTCAGACGTCTCGCGGTATATTACAACCGAGCGGAAACATAAAGGGACTCACATTACTATCACACTTTTTTTTCGAAAATAAACACATATTTGTGGGAAGCTTCTATCTAAAATAGATAGTAGTGTTTTTTTATAAATAAGCTCTTAACTAAAATACAAGCAGGCTAGAATAAAACATTCTATATGCAATTCTACTTCATCTTGTTTTCTAAAATTCACACTAGTGTTGATTCTAAAATTTTGAGTTTTTGAAGCATATGAAAAAGCATTCATGAAAATTTTATAATATGTCCACCTTTTCTTCAGTTTTGAGTGACATTTTAGTGTATATATTCGAATTCGTTCACAATATTGTACCAAGGTTATGCCTACTGAATTGAAACCGCTAGTTTTTCTTTAATATTAAATAAACCCACCGATCGAAAAGTCATTCTTTTTTCAAAACCCTGTAGTGTTTAGCATCGTTAAACAGATTTCTTTAATTTATAATTTTGTAAAATTTTAAACGCATGAATATTATGTCAGCAGTGAAGGTATTTTGGTGAAGGTCATATTGTGTTCTCGTTCAATGATATTAACATCTACAGATCACGAATCAGACTAATGTTTTGATTTGAAATTAATTTATGTGTGACGTCAATGTTTCAAATATAACCAATCAGTGAAGTTCAACTTTACTATTTGTATGTCAATATATATATTCATGTCTGATAGAACTTAATACACATACAACATGACTCTTTTATTCGCAGGAGAAATAACTTATTGCAACTTTTGTCATTTCTAATTGTGTTTTACTGTTCGCGTAATATGGGGAATATTTGAAATACGAATTTATTCCTTTCTATGAACAAAGTAATTGTAATTGTCGAAAATGACATGCTGATAACCAAACTATCCTGTATTTCGACGCGCAACTATGTGGAGTATAGACCTATCATTTTCCATATATATATGGCAATTTTATCATTTTTTAAAATAATACCTCAAAGTGAAACTGTAAATCGCTTCTACCATCCAATATATTCCTAACAACTCCCAAAGGCTAATGCTAGAAATATCCTTCAAACTATGCTAAGCTCAATGATCTGATATTACAGAATTCCGTTAAAGCAACGTGCGATTTTACAGTTTTAGAGTAATGAACTTCAGCGATATCAGAAATTCTGAACTATTGTAATATGCATTCATACCTCAGCCTTCTGTATATCCAATTACACTCACTTTGTCACTGAATATTTCACTGTATCTGAATAAACTTAAGTCAGAAATTTCTCTGTTGCTTTATTTTTACCTTTCGCGGAACTTTTGAATGATCAATGGAGTATGCGCACGCTATTCATATTTCACGTGTGCCAAGGTAATCAGGCTTCCAATTATTTTGTGATATAGTATATGTAAAATATACCTGGTAAAGAGACGGCAATTTATTACCAATTCGTCAAAGTTCCATTTAACAATATATCAGTAATCTTTCGTCTTGCATGACATTAATAGTTGCTATCGTTAACCTTTTTTATTTACAAGTGGCCGCGACCGGACTACACATACAGTGCGTAGCTCATGCATGGTTTACTTGTACAATTACTGAATGTAGTAGGTAAATCGTTAAAGTTTATTTGTACGTAAAAACCCCGCGTTATTTTTCCTGAAATTATTCAGCCACATGGCACATACTCGGATAGCTAAGTACTAGACTCTGACGCTTTATGATATTTTTCCTACAAACGAATAGTTTAATGCTGGTTATAGTAAAAACATTGGCGGGACCTTGTGAACGCACTTCAACATTAGACTATATTCGGCAAATATCTCGAGGTATGCCGCGAAACTTTGATTAAAGCAAATAAAAAAAGTTTCAATTAAAAGCCATAGCAATCGCATGTCATTTTTCCAGTTTCTGCTGTAAAAGCCTTTTCTTAGCCGACTGACGTATAGCTTACGTATAAATCGCGAATTAACTCTATCATATGAATTGTGCTATCGTTTTTTGGTTGTGAAAGTTGTATAAGTTTCAATCATTTTGACAGGATTTGTTATTATGTAATGCTCAAATTTTTAAGATACAATTTAAGAATAAATCAATCGTGTGGGATCTCTCATCTAAACATGTGTTTGCTGTTATAAATACAATGCGAAATCAAAGGCCTATTTACAAGTTTCTTCACACTCCAAAATTTCAAAATGCAAGATCAACCTTGTATCACCTCTTAACCAAACGTAATTTTATATAAACAATTAAACTTGCGACGATCACGACGGTCTACTGATCATTCATTATACGTGTTTGATTTTTTCCGACGACGCAATCCTACGTTCAAAGTAACAAGTGTTCACGACGTCATAACATATCGATTGTGTCTATTTGTAGAAAGTTAACGCACGTATCTTACAAAAGATAGAAGCGAGCCTTTTCACTGAAATAAACCTTTGTTTTTCCTCCTAAAGGACCTTTTTTTGCTTATTGATTAACAACGTTACGGAACAGCAAAGTTGTAAAATTTCTGCCATCTTCGAATTTTCTGGTAACGCACTATCCTGACTACGCCTCTATTATAGGCTTGGATTACAAGCAAGAATACGACTGTATAAAAGGGTAAAATTTCGTGCATTGGGGGCGGGCAGATTTTTTCATTTGGCCAACTTGTGCCTGCAGAAATTTATGACTATAGTTTTTATGAATATAAATTTACGTCGAAAATATCGATGAACGTCATATTACTCACGATTGTCACATTGTGCTTCTTATTATTATGTAAACGTTAGCCTAGCTGTAAATAATTTTTTTTTATTCATAATTTTTCATATTGAGTTTTGAGTCTCTGATCCGTTAACCAAGAATATTATATGTAACCGACACACTCGGAAAAGTAATTGGCCACTCGTGGACTACATGTTAGTCGCAACAATCGGAACAACCCTGCTCACGTATATTATATAAAATCTTCATATATCTATCTATAACATTGTTCAACGAAGTGAATATTTATTTACATTTCTATAAACGGATTAAAAAATAGCACAACGATCATTCGAAAATAGAAATATACACTCAAAATAATATAATTACAAAAAAACGCAGCAGTAAATTATAAAGCATTAAAAAACTAATTATAAAGTACTAAAGATGTACCAAACCATCTGTAAACTAATTTCACTCAAAAGGTATATTCGTCATGTGAAGTAGGAGTCATACAGCGGTATATCTCATATAAAAATATTTTAAAAGTATGAATATTTGTGTCGTAGTTATTGAATTAAGAAGGAAATTATTTGTTCCAACTTTTCAAAAGATTTTAAAATTGATTGAATTTTAATTAATGCCAGAAAAATTTCCAGTATATGACAAAATAATTGTACCGAAAGTGTGTACCGATTTTCATATGAGGTTGTTACTGTAAAATTTAAAAAGCACCAAAAGATCAGTAATCAGAGAAAAATAAAATATAGAAGTAATTTTTTCCATCTTCAAGCAGCGAATAACCAAGTAATTGCGGAGAAAACCCTACTAATTTATTAAATCCCAAGTAAAACAGTTGATTTCATGGCTTCATTTATGATATCAAATTTAGATATGCACTAAGTATGTAAATCATTAGGAATTAATTTATTAGTGAGTTTTTTCTCCGTCGAGCAAATGGAGCGCTAAAGAGCACTTTAGAGAGTAGCCGCAGTGGCGACAAGGCATGGGAAAAAGCAAATAACAATTCATGGTAATTAGAAAGAAACTTTAATGTAAAGAGGATAAATATGGAAAAAAATATTTAATTTTCTCGAAATTAGTCGAATTGTTATTAATTGTGGTGCTTAAAAGTGTACCAATCATTGTACGCAGCCTTGTTATGAAAATCAGACAAATTAAAAATTAAACAAAATTACTACTACTAAATCTACGATAAAACTCGAAGAAATGTTAACAGCAATGCATCTTAAATATGCATCGCTAATGCCTCAATAAATCTGAGTTTATACGTCAGTGCTATTGTTATTTTATTCGCAACGGAACTTCATTTCCACCGCTTTCAGAGATTCCTTTGACAAAGTGGACCAGTAAATTCCTGGTAGAACTATGACATCTTCCGAGCGATAAATTCCATTGAGGTGTGACGTGTACGGGGTCCCGAACCACCATGCGCCATTGTGTTCTTCCGCTTCGGTGCATACCGAAGGAGAACCGATGCTGCAGAATTGTACACCTGAGCTGGAATTCAAAGCATCTCCAGCATTGCCTGTGAAGTTGTGGACGGATAACGAGTAGAGCGATGACGAATCACCAACGGAGAATGAACTACATAATACACAATACAAAATATTAGTACTTGACGTCAAAATCGGTAATTCGTTCCTGTTCATGAATTGCCCGAAATCAAATGGTTTGATCAGTGGTTCGCAAACATTTTAATACCGCCACCCCTAAATCGAAAGCTTACCATCCATTCATAAAAATAAAGTAATTATATCGTTATCACTAAAAAATGGCGATAATACCGATAGCTATTGCATCTTCTGATCAAAATCTGCTCGGCCAAGTATTGTTATTGTGGTCCTACCAGCCGAATGACTAGTCTCGCATTGCAAGTCCAGCTTTTTTCAGACTAGTCATAAGTAAGGGATTCTAAAAGAGACTGTTGGAACAGTGAACATCTCAATTACCTCTCAAAATTGCCAAATTTTAAACAAATACCCCAGAGGGGTATGCCATTGGTTAAAGTTGGGCCAGGGACCAGGGTATTTATATTTGATACGATCAATTCACTTCTTGGCCTGGCTCCAATTTTAAATGTATGGCGCGTAATAGGAATATAGTTTGCCAGTGCGACAGCCTGATATACCACCTGATCGTTTTAAACTTATGTTCTATTCCCTGACTTCTCAATTCTAGCTAATGATTTAACGTTGACCGGTAAGACTCGGCTTTGTTAATATAACTGATATAGAGCGCAGGCCCAATTTTTTTAAGATCAGCAGAGTAAAGTTTCAAAACTTTACTCAATGTTGAAAGATTACTGTTGCAAATGATGCGCTAAAAACTACATATGAAAAAAATCAGGTCATCACTTCTTAGGAACAAACAGTATGGTTGTCATGCATCCCTACCTGTATTCTGCGTAGTGTGCTGTTGAGTTCCAATCCATTAAATCAACTCTGAGCGAACATTCACCTCTTCGTGTGAACTGGTTTAATGTTTCCAAACCTGGAATGAATTGCTAATATAGGCATTATTGATCCCTATGCTGTGAAATTTAAACTATGATAATCTGCGACACAAAAATAAATAAACGAAAACAGCATAGTCAGCAACAAGTATAAGAATCATTCAATGGGGGCCCTCACGCATTCAATTTATTTTTCTTTTTTCCCCACTTTGGTAACAAAATTTCATTGTACTGATAAATCCACACGAGGCACTTAGTGTGCCAGTAGTCACCTATGACACTTAATATTGATGTGAAAGTATAGAATTTAGGCGATTCGCGAATTCAGATTTTGTATTTATATGATATACATCCTAAAGCTAAGATATGAAGGTCGGGCCTGAAATGTCAATCATTACGTTCGAGTCGGGTCGAGCCGTTTTTTTTTTTTTAAATAATATATGTTTTAAAAAATCCAAAATGTTATTTTGAGAGCGTTTGTCCAAAGCAAGGTCACACGGACTCGCTCATATAGGAAATTAGAAAACTTATTTCCGAGCAACGATATGAGTGACCACTGAAATGTCAAAAGCTCTATGTATTGATGTTGATGCATTACGCGACGTTCCAGAAGTGTGTGTACCAATATGGAGGTAACTGATTTTGTTCGCCTACTTTACACCAAGTTGTGTGAAGGAACGGAAGCCTATGGGTAGGAGGTATATTCAGTGGTGGAATTCAAATTTTTTTGTCAGCCGGTTCCATCACAAAAGTCATATTTTTCAGCCGGTTCTGTTACAAAAAGTCATATTTTTTCAGCAAATAAACCAGTAATGCTAACCGGTTCGCCTAAGACGGTTCTATAGAACCGGTGCGAACAGGCTGAATCCCACCATTGGGTATATTCTTGGCTAACACAGACAGTCCCCGAACTCGTAAGTAATAGAACTAAAATGAGGAAAATCGGAACAAAATCATGGCCTAACCCTGACGTGGAACACACACTACGGAAGTACCCATTACCCACCATAAAAATGTTTATTAATGCGACACCTGGAGCGTTTCAATCCAATAACACCAATACAGCAGATAAATTATCAGTGATTTATGAAACTAGTGCTATCTCTACCTAACCAGTAATCTTCATCCAATTTTCCAAACCCGTCAACATAGCTTTGCCAGTTTCTATAAAAATTTACATTTCCATTCCGTCTTCTTTGAAATACCTTAAAAAAAGTAATCAAAATTTCATTCATATTTAGGGGCTTTGCCAGATTAGAGAGAATTGTTTTCAGATGTAGCCAGTATTTTCGAATAAACTTGTCTTGGTGCTGTCCACGAGTCGAAAGAGTCTTTTTGTGAACCGCGTTTAGTATTTACCAAATCATTTAGTAAAATTATTGTGAATTCAAGGCGACGGTTAACTACTATTTGCAAATTGGCCAGACGTACATTGGAAAACAGAGCGTATCCTGGGTTGGTAGGTAACTGTCCAAATTAATTGTCTAGTATTTAAAATCGGTGAATTATTAACACTCGAACATGAGTTTGCTGCAAATGAATACAACGAAAACGACTCTTACCGTCCATACATTATTCGAGTCAGGCGAACAGTCACAGTATACGTCAACACCGGTCTTGTATGTGAATTCTGGGTAAATTGTCACGGGGGCGCCTTTGGTGGCGAATCCAATGGGTTTGTTTTGATGATTTCCTTTCTCTATACTATCACACCAGACAGAACAATTTTCGACTTTTATTGCTGCAATAAAGAACAGGATTAATTGAAATTTGTGGTAAGTAATCAAATATCGATACAATGCGTACAATATACTTGTATTGGACCAAGGGCCAATAAATATTTGTCTCCGACGAATAAAATCGAATTCAATAAACTGGTTTACGTAAAATATTTGACATAGGAAATGGAAGGGAAAGTTACAAGCAGCAAGCAAGTTATTTTTATGAAAAGACACTTTTTGAATATTTTTACGGAAATTTTACTGCCACAGATTTATAGATGGTTTTATTTAAAAAAGCCAATGCAATTAATCAACTTTTTCTATGCTTGGAAGTTTGTTAAAATTAACAAAATCAGGGATGCTCCAAAAAGTTTGAACATGCATACCTGGGGTGTTGCAGCGTCTATCTCCCCACTAAACAAAATATAAACAATCAATAGGTTTACGAGACACTGTAGATATTCTCTCAGAATAAGGCTGTAAATAGGCAGCTGAAAAAAAACTGCTATTTTTGGAAGAGGAAAAGGAATCTATTCTAAATATTCGACCCAAAACACTGATATTTAACTCGTCACATATTAGGACCTAAGATACCAACCGCCGCCGCCCTGAAATAGGTCGCCACGCACATTAAAAGTCAATATAAAAGTATACGTGTCAGTGAATGGACTGTTATTGTGACCAGTTACTCGACGTCAAATTTCTTTGGAATGGCACTCACGTTATGTTGTTATTACCGAAGAAACTATTTCAAGATCTATTGTGTAACTGAGAGCCATACTCGTCAGAATATGAACAATGATAAATGTCGCAATTGTAGGTGGAAAGTTACAGCCCCGCAATCGAAGCTAGGTACTCAGTAAACAGTAAACGGGAATTCCCACGTTTGTTTCTCCAAATTTGGGCATTGTTATTTGTGATCTTTATTACTGAACCCATCCAGTATAAATGAATATATACTGTAAATAGCAAAACAATTTATTCTCCAGGTTGTCTGCTTACATAACCTTGACAAAAATATTTTGGCAAAATTACTTGTATTTCAGAAGTTTTTGTACAAAGATACAAGTAACCGCTTCATGATTTAAAAATAATGACTTAGTTGGCCTTCATTGACATGACTCGTGAACAATAGTCGACTGGACAAAAACCAAAATATACACACAATTTATTCCAGTCGATGCGAACTTATAGTACTCACCAAAACGCCAAACGGCAAAGATATCCCAAAAGTTACAGCTATAACAAGCAGGTACCAGAAAATATTCTCTCTTTCTCTTGGCTTGACAAATTGATCTAGAAAAAGAAAAAATTATTTTTAATATTTTGCACAATACCACAACAAGCAAGGCATGTACACTGATATTACAAAATTATCCAAGTTGTATTTTAGAACGTTTTCTAACATACCTAATCAAATAGTTGCAAGTTAAATATTTCACGTAGGCAGTGGGACCCCACTGGAGACTTGATTGGTATGCTAAAGGCTGATAGACGGTGGCACAAAAATGCCGTGTCCCAAATGTTTGAATCTCACTTCATATCTCAAAATCTTCTGCCAAAGTATTATATTCAGTCTAACCCAGAATATAATACGATAGCCGATTGCCCCATAATATTCACAACCACGGGTATGGGATGCGACATTTTAAGACGCCGCAAATAAGCTACGTGGACATAGAAGTTCGTGTTTCGCAATATGAGCGATTCTTTTTTTTATTTTGTTGTCAAAAATTAGATTTTCAAGAAAACTTGGCGGGTCACAAATTCTCTTTTGTACTCGATCTTGCCATATTATAACAACTTTTTGGGGCATTTTTATTATCGTATTCAGTGTTGGTGTCTAGTAATTATAAGAGTAGACCTCGATTAAATTATTGCCCACCTCCACCTCTTTGTCTTTCTGCACGTTCAGGAGACTGCATTTCTGAAATTTGAAAGATAGCACTCGTATGAATTCAAAGATGTTCACATAGTATTATTACTAGTCCGATATTAACATATTTATTGATGATGTCCAAGAAGTATTAACGTAGCCCTAGGTTAACTTACCCACCTATCTCTATTTCTTCAAGTTCAGTAGACAATGCTGAGTTTTGAAAGATAGCAGTCATATGGATTCAAAAAAGTTCACGTAGTATTTATTATTAATCCGATATTACAAACTTTCTTGTGATATCTACGCACCGAGAGCTAATATAAAATAGTGTCTATAATTAATTAGGATAAATGGATGATACTTTTGAAGTGAAACATAATTTCAGCCAAGTTTGATAGCACTGCATCGTAAACGACGGGTTTTTCATGAACCGTTAATAGTTTTTGAGTTACGGTCGCTTTCTAGAGATTTCAGTGAATGAAATTCTAATATCTTTTATTATCGTAGATTTACAATACTGAAGCAAGTCATTCAGAAAACGGCGCGCACAACGCTTACGATGACTGTATACAAGATTGAACTATAAACTACGGAACTATTGACATAGTCATTCCATTCATGTGGGATTTATAGGTGACACGCCATGCACTCGCATTTTAAATTTATTCATGAAAGCTGGCAGCACGGGAGTGTTCAAGTTAGCTTCATACACCTCATACATCGCTTGTCTAATAAATCGAACAAAGGTTTGGTTGCGAATGATCATAGAAATATAACAACTTGATATATATATATATATACATAAGACTTCTGCTACCATACCCGGGAATATAGAAGGGGAATGCTGAGGTTCATAGTACCCTGCTAGTACCCTAGGTCGATCTCCCGGAGTTTCACTATATCATTCATCATTTTACCCTTTCCGTGTTTTTTTTTGTAATATGAGAATTATTTTGTTCATAAGAAGACCAAAGTGGTGCAATAATATGCTATCTCCTCATGCAATAATCAGAAAATAGATGATATAGAGTTTGAATATGCTGCAAAATTTCATCATCAGGTCCTTAGTCAATATACTTGATATAATGCCGATTTGATAGGTATTGAACGGTATATATTCTAAGTAAGAATATCGCGTAGCTCATAAGTGAAATGAATACCCTAGTCTAGTGAAAAAAAGCGAAGCATGATTAGGGTTTACTGGGGTAAGATCATGGTATGAGAAAGTTTTTTTCCCTGGTGATCAAATAAACAAACGATTACATCTTTGCACTATTTTAGGGCCAAAATATCTGGTTACTCTTGAAGAGAATTGGGCTGAGGCTTACCATGTAGACATTCGATATGCTCAATATGTTACCCAGGAATATACAAGGGGAATGCTGCGGTCCATACAACTGGTCCTCGGAATTTCATGATATCTTTCGTCATTTACCCTTTTTATGTTTTATTTTGTATTGATTGAAATTAATATTTTTATAATATCCAATAGCGGTTTGGTTGCCAGTGGTCAGGGAAGTAAAGCCATGTGAGATTTATCAGACTGCCTGGTATTACATCTATAAAGGGAATGCTTCGGTCCAGGCGCTTGCAGTCTCATAGGATTAATACTCATGTTTTTTTTTACGATGCAACTTCTTTGTTCATATTAAGACCCTAGTTGCGCCACAAGTTTCCTCTTTGTGTAATAGTTGATATTTCAATACGCCGATTGCACCGTTTCATTCAAACATATTTACTTTATTGTGCACACATTTCGTGTTGTTCGTTGTTATGATTTTTGTTTTGCCATTGCTAAGACTGAGATATTGTATTCAAAATGTTTTGTGTTTTATTTTTAAAGAAAGCGGAACTCCCCGCGTGTAATACTTACCCTGTACCGTGTTTTCCTGAAAATAAGACAGGGCCTTGTTTCAATTTTCTTTTAAAAAATAATCCAGGGGGTTATTTTGAAGGAATAATGGGTTTTATTTTCATTTATCAAAAACAAAATTACAAAGAGGGCTTGACTTCAAATCATTTTTAAAATTCATGCTAGGTCCATTTTTCAGTCTAGGTCTCATTTTCGAGGAAACACAGTATAACCGTTTATAAAAAGGCTCAACTAAATTTCGGCTTTTGTAATCACAATGTTTACATTTTCGATATTTATTAGTAATCACGCGACTGTTAAATAATTGTACAATCAAAATAATTCCAAAACCACTTATCGAAGAAAAATATGTTTATTTCCCGCGATTCTCAACCAATGGGGCGCGGCCCACAAGGGGAGCGTGGACAATTTTTTGAGGGGGCGTGAAGCTAATTAAAAATAGAAGTATTTGTTAGATTTGATGTTACCCCTCTTATTTTGAATATTTACATATCTTTATTGTTTAAAGATTGCGATTCCATCCACGTATTTCAACGTGTTTTTTGAATAAAACATACTATTTGTAGCTTATTATCAGCTAGTTATTTTTGAGGTTGACAAATTTCAAAAAGGGGTCGCGCGACTTAAAAAGATTGATAACCACTGTTTTAAAGGATCCGGAATCAAAAAGGGTTTAAACCTCACTTTTAAAAGATCTTTAATTTTATATTTTTTGTTTATCAGAAAATTTCGACTAAGAATTTTATTTTTTTTAAATATAAATTTCGACAACCGCTCCTACGAGTTCAAATTTTGACTTTGACTCAAATACCAGCCTTGCGACGCCGTAGTTCGATTTGCGACGATTGATCGTACTTGCTGCTTTACAAATTTAGAAATCTTGTCTGCTTTCTCAAAGTCACGGTTTCTTTTATCGGAATGCAAAATTTTTATTGTGTGAAAAATACACAATGTACTATGTTAGAAAACAATAAAGCCAAAATATTTTGAATAACAACAATTTGAGAGTGTGGGTTAATTGAAAATTTCGTCACCAGTTCGGGGGAATCAGAAATGTCGATGTCCGCCCCGGGGATATTTCGGTTTCCGACTCCGATCAATACTGAGGCCTAGCCAAGGCCGGCTTGTTTTTTTCACGCATGATACAAAGTACTCACATCATATTTTGGAGTGTAACCAATGGCGTCGTAGTTGAAATGTAAAATATTCTGGCGTTATGTCCTATGACCTAGTGGTTGAAAGACCACCGACGAACTAAATGTAAGCAAAAACGGCTATCAAAATTACCGTCCCACTCGGCAAATAAATGAGTTTAGTTTTGCAAAATTTCCGTACCATTTTATTCCCTTTCGACATTGTGCAACAGCTGAAATACAATTTTCCATGATTATCCGGGTGTCCTAGAATATTCTCAATCTATATCTCAAGTAAATCCTACACTGGCTCATAACATTTGAACGGATCTAAACGAGCGCGGGGGCATTTTGTTAAAGCCGGCCTACTTAGGTATGATGCGAAACCATGTTGGAATATTGTTTCAAATCCTTGTCCCCCAGGGTGTAATAAATTAGGTAGATCAGCTTTCCTCGAACTGTGTTCCGCGGAACACCGCTTTTGCAGAGAAACATAATTTCAGCAAAGTTTGATAGGACAGAATCATTCACGACGGTTGTTTCATGAACCTTAATAGTTTTTTAAGTTGTAATCGCTTTCAGGAGAGTTTGATAAATCTTAATATCTTCCGGTTTACGGATTGGTTTAATTATAAAGAATTTAGTTTTAGTAGCTTAGGCAAAAGCCGGAATTTCCCCTTAACATGCATCTTCATCAGTTCGTAATTTCTGTTCTGTTTGCACAAAATGCTAATTTGCTATGAACCCTCTTCCTTAAGCTTACTCTAAATCCGCTCAACCCATAACATACAATAAAATCCATTTTCCTCGCTAAGCTTCAAATCAGCTATTGGCCCAACAATACTGCTCTATGCTTCGCTAAAACAAATAAAATTAACTACTTCAATTTTAAAATATTCGTAATATTAGTAGAATACACTTAGCGAGTCATTCAGAAAATAGTGCACACAACGCTTACCATACCATTAAACAAAATTGAACTATAAAATACGGAACTATAGACATAGTCATTCCTTTGATGTGGGATTTATAGGTGACACAGCATACGCACACATATTAAATTAATTTATAAAAACTGGCAGCACGGGAGTGTCCAAGCTTTTAAAATGCATACTTCCCTTGTCTAATAAATCGAACGAAGGTTTGTTTGCGAATGATCATAGAAATAGAAAACAATTGGAGATATATATATAAGACTACTGCTTCTATAACCGGGAATATACATGGGGATGCTACGGTCCAGCATTCCTAGGTCGACCAGCCCCCTAGGTCGTTCTCCCAGAACTTCACGATATCTTTCTTCATTTAATCTTCCCATGTTTTTTTGCAACATGAAAATTATTTTGTTCAAATGAAGACCACATGGGTGGAAAAATATGATATCTTCTTGCAATAATCAGAAAATAGATGATATGGAAGATGGATATGATGTGAAATTTCATCATCAAGTCCTTAGTAAATATAATTGGTATAAATACCTATTTGACGGGTCATGAATAGCATAATCTAATTAAAAACATGTCGCGAAGCTCATCGAGGATTTGAATACCCTAGTCTGGTGAAAAAAAGCGAAGCGTGATTAGGGTTTGCTGGGGTAAGATCATGGTACATCTCATATAAAATGTTTTTAAAATATAGATATTTGTGTCGTAGAATTTTAAAATTGAATGAATTTTCAAACCGTAATGCCAAAAAAATTTCCCGTATACTTCAAAAGAATTGTACCGAATGTCATATGAAAGTGTGTACCGATTTTCATATGAGGTTGTTACTGTAAAATATAAAAAACAACAAAAGCTCAGTGATCAGAGAAAATTAAAAATATAGAAGTAATTTTCCCATCTTTAAGGACCTATTGTTCAAGTAATTGCGGAGAAAAGCCTACTAATTTATCGAACCCCAAGTGAGTCGATTTCAAGGCTTCAATTATGAAATTAAATTTAAATATGCACCTGGTATATGAATTATAAAGAAATCATACACTAGGGAGTTTTTCGCTGTCTAGCAGATGGGGGCGCTAAAGAGTCACTTTAGAAAGTGGCCGAAGTGGCGACAAAGCATGTAAAAAAGCAAATATTATTCGAACTAGAGATCGATTGATCGTAAGCAAATAACAATGCTTGGTAATTAGAAAAAAATCTTTTCTTTAATATAAAGAGGATAAATATTAAAAAACTATTTAATTTTCCGAAAATAGTGGAATTGTTATTAATTTTGGTGCTTAAAAAGGGAATTAATCATTGTACGCAGCCATGTTATGAAAATCAGACAAAATAAAAATTCAACTAAATTACTACTACTGAATCTGCGATAAAACTCAAGAAAATGTTAACAGGAATGCATCCTAAATATGCATCGCTAATGCCTCAGTAAATCTGAGTTTATACGTCAGTCTTATTCGCAACGGAACTTCATTTCCACCGCTTTCAGAGATTCCTTCGACAAAGTGGACCAGTAAATTCCTGGTAGAACTCTGACATCTTCAGAACGATGAATTCCATTGAGGTGTGACGTGTACGGGGTCCCGAACCACCATGCGCCATTGTGTTCTTCCGCTTCGGTGCATTCCGAATGAGAACCGATGCTGCAGAACTGTACACCTGAGCTGGAATTAAATGCATCTCCAGCATTGCCTGTGTTGTCGTGGACGGATAACGTGTAGAGCGATGACGGATCACCAACGGAGAACGCACTACATAATAAACAATACAAAATATTATTACTTGACGTCAAAATCGGTAATTTGTTCCTGTTCATAAATTGCCCGAAATCAAATTGTTAGATCAGTGGTTCGCAAACATTTTATTACCGCCACCCCTAAATCGAATTATTAAAAGCTCACCATCCATTCATAAAAATACATTAATTATATCGTTATCACTAAAAAATGGCGATAATCCCTGACTTCTCAATTCTAGCTAATGATTTAACGTTGACCGGGTAAGACTCGGCTTTGTTAATATAACTGATATAGAGCGCAGGCCCAATTTTTTAAGATCAGCCAAGTTTCAAAACTTTACTCAATGTTGGAAGATTACTGAAGTTGCAAATGATGCGTTAAAAATTACCCAATGCGGCACTACACTTGAAAAAAATCAGGTCATCACTTCTAAGGAACAAACAGTATGGTTGTCAATTAAGAAGACCCTTATCATATCATGCAAACCTACCCGTATTCTGCGTAGTGTGCTGTTGAGTTCCAATCCATTAAATCAACTCTGAGCGAACATTTACCTCTTCGTGTGAACTGGTTTAATGTTTCCAAACCTGGAATAAATTGCTACAATGAATTATAAGCATTATTGATCCCTTTTCGGTGAAATTTAAAACTATGAGAACCCGCGACACAAAAAACTCAAATCAACGAAAACAGCATAGTTAGCAACAAGTATAGGAATTATTCAATGGGGGCCCTTGCTCATTCAATATTTTTTTCATTTCTCCCCACTTTCGTGACGTAATTTCATTGTACTGATGAATACGCACCATGAAATACTTATGACACATAAAGCAGTTAAAGTCGTTCTCCGGAGAAAACAGTTATAAAGCAGAGAATTCCACATAAACAATTTTTGGAGTAAAATGTCTTGGCGTATGAGAGATTCACTGACTTAAATTATAAATGAAATAACACCAGTACTCTCCTCAAATTCAAGATTTATTAAGTTAGTGGTGTGCTTACCCAACCAGTAATCTTCTTCGACTTTTCCAAACCCATCAACATAGCTTTGCCAGTCCTTATGAAAACTGATATCTCCTTCCCATCTTCTTTGAAAAATCTTTGTGAAAATGACCAAAATTTTATCTATAGTGGCTTTGCCAGACAAGTCCCCTGAGACAGGGGGGGGGGGTCGGCAAATTATTCTGCTCGGAAAGTGGCCAAGAACTTAGCACGGCTACATTTTTATCAAGAACAGCAATTGTTTTTTGAGTCGCTTGTTAATGAATGATTTAGTTATATTATTGTGAAGTTAAGACAATAGGTTTTTGCAAATTAGACGAACAATGTACATTTGATGACAGAGAGTCACTTGGGATGATAGTAAGCTGTTAAAATTAAATGTCTAGTATCTAAAATCAGTGAATTATTTACACTCATTACACTCTTACCGTCCATACATTATTCGAGTCAGGCGAACAGTCACAGTATACGTCAACACCGGTCTTGTATGTGAAATCTGGGTAAATTTTCGCGGGGCGCCTTTGGTGGCAAATCCAATGGGCATGTTTTGATGATTCCCTTCCTCTATACCGTCACACAAGACTGATCAATTTTCAACTTTTATTGCTGCAATAAAGAACAATATTAATACAATTTGTGGTAAGTAATCAAACATAGATACAATGCGTACAATATATTTGTGTTCGAGGGAGGCCCAATTTATATTTGTCTTTGGCGATTAGAATCGAATTCAATAAACTGGTTTACATAAAATAGGAGATAATTGTTAAGATACAAGTAGAAAATAGTTGATTTCTTGAAGAGACAATTTTTGAATATTTTCACAAAACTTTACTGCCACAGCTTTATAGGTGGTCCTGTTCGTAAAATAACGCAATTCAGCTTTTTCTAAAATTGAAAGCTTTTAAAGGTTAGAAGTGCTCAAAAAAAAAAAATTAACATGCCTACCTGGGGCCATCGGGGTTGTGTTGCATCGTTTATCTCCCAACTGTACAAGAACAAAATAGAAAAAATTACATGTTTTCGAAACGCTCGAGATCTCCTCTCAGAATAAGACTGTAAATTGACAGCTGACATAAACTGCTATTTTTGAAAGAAGTGAGAAAACTTCCGAATGTCCGCACAAAACCCAGATATTTAACTCGTGACATATTAGGGCCTGAGGTGCAGACGACATGAAATAGGCGGTCACGCACGTTTAGTCGATATAAAAGTATCCGTACTTGTATGAATCGAGCCAGTGAATGAACCGCTATTGTAATCAGATACTTTGGAATGACACTAACGTTGTGTTGTTATTACGAAATAAACTATTTCCAGGATTCATTATGTAGCTGACAATGTAAACAAGGAAGAATGTCGAAATTATAAATAGAAAGTTGGAGCCCCGCGACTGCACCCATCCAATATAAATAAATATATACTGTAGATAGCAAAAAAAAATTATTCGCCAAGTTGTCTGCTTACAACCTCAACAAAAATGTTATAGTGATATTACCTGTATTTCACCCGCTTTTGTGCAAAGGTTCAAGTAAGCGCTCTATGATTTAAAAATATTGGCTTTGTTGGCCTTAGTTGACCTGGCTCGTAATCAATAGTCGACTGTACCGCAATATAAATTTATACACAATTTATTTCAGTCGAGACTAACTTATAGTACTCACCAAAACACCTAGCGGGAAAGATATCCCAAAAGTTAAAGCAGTAGTAGCAACTATGCAAAAGATAATACGCTGTCTTATACTTTGCTCGACAGATGGATCTAAAAAAGCATCATTATTTTCAATATTTTGCACACTACCACAAGCAAGGCATATATACTATTAATAAACAATTATCCAAGGATTTCAGAACGTTTTCTAACATACCTAATCAAATAAGTGCAGTTTGAATATTTCACGTAGGCAGCGGGACCCGACTGTAGTGTTTATTGTTATGCAAAAGCAGATTGGCTTGACAATGCTGTGTCACAAATGTGTGAATCTCACTACATATATCAAAATCTTCTGCCAAAGTATTATATCAATCCTAACCCAGAATATAATATGATACCCACTTGCCCCATAATATATACAACCATAGGTGCGGGGCGTGACATTTTTAAGATGCCACAAATAAGCTAGCTACGTGGCCATAGAAGTTCGTGTTTCGCAATATGAGCAATCCTGTTTTATTTTGTTGTCAAAAATGAGATTTTCAAGAAAACTTGGCGGGTCATAAATTCTCTTTCGTACTCGCTCTTGCCATATTGTAACAACTTTTTGGGCAAATGGCATTTTTATTATCGTATTTAGTGTCGGTGTCTAGTAAGTATAAGAGTAGACCCAGATTACATTATTGCCCACCTCGACCTCTTCGTCTTTCTGCACGTTCAGGAGACTGCATTTCTGAAATTTGAATGATAGCACTCGTATGAGGTCAAATATGTTCACGTAGTATTTATTACTAGTTCAATATTATCATATTTAGTGATGGTGTCTGGGAAGTATTAACGTAGCCCTGGATTAAATTACCCACCTATTTGTCTTTCTTCACGTTCGGCAGACATTGCTGAATGTTGAAAGATAGCAGTCGTATGGATTCAAAAAAGTTCACTTAGTATTTATTATTAATCCGTAATTACAAACTTTCTTGTGATATCTACGCACCAAGTGCTAATATAAAATAGTGTCTGCAAGTAATTATGATAAATGAATGATACTTTTGAAGTGAAACATAATTTCAGCCAAGTTTGATAGCACTGCATCGTTAACGACGGGTTTTTCATGAACCGTTAATAGTTTTTGAGTTAAGGTCGCTTTCTAGAGAGTTCAATGAATGAAATTCTAAGATATTTTATTATCACAGATTTACAATACTGAAGGAAGTCATTCAGAAAATAGCGCGCACAACGCTTACGATGATTGTATACAATATTGAACTATAAACTACGAAATAATAGACATAGTCATTCAATTCATGTGGGATTTATAGTTGGCACAGCATATTAAATCAATTCATAAAAACTGGCAGCACGCGAGTGTCCAAATTAGCTTCTGATGCATACACCTCATACATCCCTTGTCTAATAAATCGAACAAAGGTTTGGTTGCGAATGATCATAGAAATATAGCAATGTGGGATATATATATATATGGGACTTCTGGTACCATACCAGGGAATATAGAAGGGGAATGCTGAGGTCCATAGTACCCTGCTAGTACCCTAGGTCGGTCCCGGAATTTCACGATATCTTTCGTCATTTAATATTCCCATGTTTTTTTGTAACAAGAAGGTTATATTGTTTAAAAGAAGACCATAGTCATGCAATAATATTATATCTCATTTCAATCTTCAGAAAGTAGATGCTATGGAGTGAAATTTCATCATCAGGTTATTAGTAAATATAATTGTTATAAATACCAATTTAACGGGTCATGAATACAGTGACATGATCTAATTAATAAAAACATGTCGCGGAGCTCATCGGTGATTTGAATACCCTATTCTAGTTAAAGAAGCAAAGCATGATTAGGATTTGCTGGGGTAAGACATGGTATAAGAAAGTTTGTTCCCTGGTGATCAAATAAACAAATGATTACGTTTTTGCACTATTTTAGGCAATTGATAACACCCACCCCACGCCCTTAAGAAATTGATAACACCTATACCACGGCCAAAATATCTGATACAGGTCATGGTCATGTAAACGGACATTCGATATGTTCAGTATGTTTTCATATCGAACTACCAATTTTCCCCACAGTCAGAATTGGTTATTTTTCTCGGTACGTTGTTTTGTCCTAGCATATCTTTAGAAATATCAGATATAATAATATTTATGTTCTAATTCTTATACAAAGTCGACCGAACAATTTTATAGAAGTTATCACACATATTCTTGCTTTGTAATAATTTATTCACAAAATAAATTTAAAATCTAGAGGACAATCAATCAAAATCTGTGGCACTATAGATGGAATAAGAGTTCCGTTATGTTGACAATAAAAGCAATCATTTTTGGTAAATGACATCACATATATGCGAGATAACTCAATACCATTTGCGGAGCCCTCAGTTATATCAGATTGTATTCATATTAATTCTGTTCTACTTTAAAAGTGATATTCCCCAAGAAAGCCAAACTCCTGATGGTAAACTTTACTATATTACGGCGAAGGTGTACGTCCCTACACATTATTTGAACAATAGATATAAAACGTAAGGAAAAATAAAAAGCGAGATATATAGGTTGCAAGGCAGAAAAACGAAAATTAATAATACTTCAGAAAGCCTCTTAAAACTCAATATGAAACTATGAATAAAAACAGTTTTTTTTTTTAATAAGGATCATATAGTCCATAGTTTGCTCATGTAGCTAGTCATAATCATCAACGTTCTTAAAGCCATCAATATAGTTTCCCCAGGTATAGTGATAGCTGACATGTCCATACCAATTTGATCGAAAAATCTTAAAAGAAGAGAACATGCATCCTTAAACGCCTATCGTGTATTGACTGTTTTTGAAAATATTATTTCACGCCATCAAATTTCTGGGATGTTATTCCATTATTCTCCCGAAAACAAAACTCAATGTAGTCGTAATACACAAACGTTAAAGAGCTGTTTAAATTTACAGTATATTACTATTAATACGCCTGGGAGTGCACACAACGCATAGGTCGACTTAAACTAACTAATAAAACTCACCTTTATACAAATCGAATCGAAACAACAATAGCAGAGTTCAACTCCACTCTTGTATGTGAACTCAGGGTAATGTTGGTTGGATGCGCTTGTACCGCTTGGTATTCCAAACATTGGCATGAACTTATCATCTCTTTCTTTGATACCACGGCAAAAACAATGTCGGTCATCGAAATCTGAAGAACCAAGGCAACAAAAATCACCTGGTGTCTGCATATTCAAGAATAGTATGTGAAATATTTAATTCCCCCCCTTAAAATAAGACCTATAATCAACAGCGCGGATTTTTTTTTTGACCTCTTCGATAGCAAGAAATCCCTCCTACACGTTTTGAATGATTAATCTAAAATGTGTGAGAGAAAAACGTGTTATTTATTAGTTAATGGATATCCGTTTTCATGTTTTGTTTATTTAAAAATCTTACTATTCTCTACTTTGTCATTTTGTTTTTGATAAATGAAAATAAAAGACATCCCCCGAAAATAAGCCCCAGTGTTTTTCAAAAGACAATTGAAATAAGACCCAGTCTTGTTTTCGGGGAAACGCGATATGGTTATCAATACGTCTACAATCTCGTACAATACGAGAATATCGGTCGGAGACCGAAGACTTATCGATCGAAGATCGGTAATCAATTAATAACGCTACATTATACGACATAATTCATCCAAAATCTATAGGCTTCTGATCTGAGCTATGCTGAATGCGAATGCAAAATTTGGAGCAGATTCAACCTCGCCTTCGTGAGATATCGCGTTCATCTAACAGACAAACAGACAGACAAATACCAATCAACATATTTACCGATCTTAAGATCGATAAGTAATAAGTGGAAAGTTAATTGTGTTAGTAAAAGTATTTCATTTTAACCAAGCAATATTCTCTAACTTATCATAAGTTTTTGTAGATTTGTAGATGCAAATATTCAAAAAGTAAAATTTTATTCCTATCACCTAGAAATTCGCTATGATGGACGAAATATTTCATAATAAAACTCAATACCTGGCGTTGCTCCGTTGTCTACTTTTCCAAACTAAACAAATTTAAATTTAGATATTAATACGAACTTTTACTCTGAATAAGGCTACAAACGAGTACCACCTATTACATAAGAAATGCTACTTGATGGAAAACTTGAAATTTCTGAATTTGGAATGACTAGCACAATCAAAAGAGAGATATTTAACTCAGACAACAAATAGGTCTAGAGCAGTGCTTCTCAAGCTTTTTAAAGCCCCTTTTTAGAATTTGTCAAGTCTCGCGCCCCACCTCAAAAATAACTAGATAACAATAAGCTACAAATAACAGATAGTAAGGCGAAAGTATGTTTTAGTCAAACATACGTGGATGGAGCGTAAATAATGAAATGAATGGAAAGTTTTAAAATGTAAATATCCGAAATAAGGCGGACAAGATAAAATCTAACAAATATTTTTATTTAGTTAATTAATTAATTATTTTTAATTTAATTCACGCCCCTAAAAAATTGTTTACGCCCCCTTGTGGGTCGCCACCGCCGTTCGAGAACCACTGGACTGGAAGGTAGGATCATGCCTACACCAAATCTGAGTCGATGCGCTTAGCTGAATAGACTTTCTTGCGATGGTAACCCGATACTTTTCGCGAAAGCATCTTTGTAACACTCTTGGTTTTTTATGGCAGACCAAGTTGTTATTAGAAACCTATTGAGCGTCAAACTCGCCATAGTATAAACACATATGGTCGCAATTGTAGAAAGTGATCGCTCTGAATACAGATATACGGTATTTTTTAAATATTGATCGAGTTACGTAATGACAACGACTTATCCGCTTATGTGTAAACAATCCGCTTTGGTTATTTTACGATGATCACGAAAATCGAATATTTCGAATTTAAAATTCAGTTTGATGTTCCAAGAGATTAAAAAATTCGAATTATCCATCAAATTTTACAATCTTAATTCTCAACAACAACTAAAAGCCAAATTTTTTATACAGAGGATACCGAAAATGCATTATGTGGAATGATAAATAAAGTGGAATATCTTGGGCGTGTTCTTCTGACCAATCGTTGTTTCGAAAAATGCAGTTATATCAAGTACAAGATCTTAAAAGCTAGCGGGACTAAAAAGCGTGGTTGAGCGTGAGTCTGAGAGTCTAATAGCATTACAAGCTACCAAAATTGCTATGTATACAATTTTTTTTTGTATATTCCAAAAGGGAAGGGGATGCAATATATGATAATTTATAATATTGGAAGTGAAAGACTCCACTTCTATAGCTCTCTAATGGTGGTTGATTTGACTTCCTGTAATCCAAATTTTCTATAACAGTCAGTACAAACTAATAAGACTCACCAAAATGCCCCATATAAATAACAAAGCAGGTAATGCTATCAAAAACAGGCAGGCAACGAGAGTTTTCATCTTTGTTCCTTCACCTGAAAATGCGCCAATATTTTTGATATACTGCACTCGACGTAAGCTAATGTGTTATATTACTATGTAATTACCTGAATGAATGACCAGAAAATATAAATATTTCGATTCGTCAGTGAAATACAATGCTAAAGAGATTCAAAGAATGGTGCTCGCGCTCACGCTATTGGACTTTCAACTAATAAACTATGTACAAAACATATTCCATTCATTAGAAATGTACAATTATAGAATATCGCTCAATGAATGAAATTAAGAAAGCAGGCAGCAAAGTTACGTCTAACCTCTTCCGAAAGCGATTCAATTCTCATAATGTACATCCATTGTCTAACAATGTATTTAACAACCATTTGGTTGAGAAGGAGATTTATGAGACAACCTGGAATTAAACTCGGTAATCTATTGGGGGGATGCTGAGGTACAGGAACTTCCAGTCTACTTGCAACACTTTTCACGTTCTTTGTTCATATTGAGACCATTGTTGCGCCACAAGTTTCCTTTTTGTGTGATATGGATATTTCAATACGCCGATGGCACCATTTGATTCAAACATATTTACTTCTAATATAAGTACATTAGTATTATAGTCACAACAAAAGACCAGGCGCCTGTGAAAACACCTAGTGTTTGTTATCATGATTTTTGTTTTGCCATTGCTAAAACCGCGATATTGTATTCAAAACGTTTTGTTTTATTTTCAAAGAAAGCGGAACTCCTCACTTATAAATCTTATCCTGTACCCCGTGTTTTCCCCGAAAATAAGACGGGGCCTTATTTCAATTATCTTTTAAAAAATAACACAGGGGGTTATTTAGAGAGATGGCTTTTATTTTCAATTATCAAAAACAAAATTACATTAAAATCATTTTAAAGATCATACTAGTTCCTAGGTCTCATTTTCGGGGAAACACCCAGGCCGGCGTGATATCAGTGCTTGTGAACTGAGTTTACTGAGAATATGAAATCTTGTGATATATATCAATACATACGCGATAAAATTAGGAACTAGAATATCGGTTGGAAACAGAAGACTTATCGATCGAAGGTTAGGGGATCCCTCAAAACAGTGATCTTACTCCTAAATGACATCGTGTGCCCCATCACTAATTAATTAATAACTCGCTAATTATACGACGTAATTCATTCAAAAACAATAGTCATCTGATCCGAGCTATGATGAATGCACATGCAAAATTTGGAGCAGATTCAACCTCACTTTCGTGAGATATCGCGTGCATCTAACAGACAGACAAACAAACAAATACCTATTAACATACTTACCGATCTTCAGATCGATAAGTAATAAATCACGAAAAGGAGTTTTGTGAAGCAACTTCGTGTATAGCAGTGGTTCTCAAGCTGCGGGTAATTATTACCTCCAATGGGGTAATTTGGCAATTTTTAGGCGTTAATCCAGACGTTCATTGTGTTAACAATTTTTTTGTAATCCCCAAACTTTTGACTAGTCTGCGAAAAAGCTGGACTTGCATATAAAACCAATACTTCTCCGTACAGATTGTAGGCTAAAATGCTGAGCTATTGCAGGTTTATCATTTTGAAGTCGGATCGGAAGACGCAATGGGTGTTAGTATTTTCGCTGTTTTTGGTCTAAGAACTGTATTTGTTATTAAATGGGAAATTGGGCTGATCTGGTTATTCGAGTTAGGGATAGCGATATCTAAGGGTCTAGGAGCCACTGGCATATATTGTCAAATAGCCAGAGTGCGTTGAAAGAATTGAAAGATGTTTTGGCATAAATATAGTGTAAACTGTTTTGCTTTCTTATTACATAGTTAAAAAGAAAAACTGCTAAATACATAAATTTTAAGTTTATTTTACCTGGCTTCGAGCAAGAAAATGATTAAAATATATTCCATTACATAAATTAAAAAGAATATATTGGTAAAATTTCATATAGAAAAAGAATATATTGGTATATAATTGAACAACAATTCTTCCTAGACTGCGATCAAAGTTTATTATTCATTGAGGCAAATTCATCATTGAGAATTCGTTTTCTATCACTAATCAATTGTAATGAAATTTTTTCCGGCGTCTGAAATTAAGAAGGGAAAGCATATCGGTTCCCCCATAAAAGCTATGTGTAATAATATTAAAACTTCATAAGATTTGAAACTCTTTGGGTTGTCAAATCGGTACTCTCATAGTGTGCGTACCAGGTTAGGTAGGGTTGGGGCATAATTTTAATCGTATTTTCTATATTTTAGTTCTATTACGAGTTCGGGGACTGTCTGTGTCAGTCAAATGAATATACCTCCTGTTTTTAATTTACTTTTTCTTTCTAAACTTCATTTCTGTGAACGTTAGTGTTTGAAGTTGTTTCCAGTGAAGCCACCTAATTCCTTGAGGATCATTTCGTCCATCTTGATGATAGACACCGTTGAGATTTGCGTAATTACAATTCCTATGCCACCAAGCCCCTGCGGTATCCATTGCACAGTTGTGAGTCGACTTATAGTCATTATCGGAATCTTTTGTAGTGAACTGCATTCCATTACTATATGTCATTGAATCTCCGGCTGTCCCCGAATATCCACCGACTTTAAACAATAATTATCGCTTGCAGATGCGATAGAGAACGTCCTGAAAAAAAGTGTGATTTGAAAGTTTATATTCCAAAAGTTATATTCCCAGTTTCTTTATCTGCGTAACCGAGTTTAGCGAACATGGGTGGTTTTTTTAAGTATTGTGAAGAAAAACAAGAGAGCTATGCTCAAATATATGGACACGTAGAGTCACATAATTTTGATGACGTCATAGCGAAAAAAAAAGTAATAGCCTTCTGGAGAAAATTTTTATCTTTAACCACTGAAAATTTCAAAGCAATTGGTCCAGTATTCGAAGAGAAAAGCGACTTTTTAAAAACGTGTCGAAGAACAAGAACAACAACAACATAATATTGAAACGATCGTTATGTCCACTACGTGTCCAATTAGGCAGAGATGAAAAAGAATTAACATTGCCTTTACTCGTTAGGCCTAGACGTTTGCAAATTCCAAATAGCATAATGTACAAATTGGCGAATACAAATTAATTCTCACTTACTCATATTTAGCATAGGCTGAATCTCCAGAAACGTTTTTCAAATCCACTCTGAGTTCGTAATTTCCGTCCTTAGTCAACTGGTAAATGGTTTCTAGCCCTAAAAATGAAAAACAAACAAAATGAAGTCATCAAACACAGTGGTCCGCGAAGCATGTAAACCAAGATGGCGAACACCGGAACGTAATATGTACCAGGTTAGGCCATAATTTCAAGTAAAAATACTACGGGACTCACTTGGCTAGTCCCCGAACTCGTAATAATACTAAAACGAGAATATCGGTCGGAGACCGACGACTTATCGATCGAGCGATAATTAATTAATTAATAACTCGCTAATTACACGACATAATTAGCCCAAAATCAATAGGCTTCTAGTCCGAGATATGATGCAAGCACATGCAAAATTGTGAGATATCGCGTTCATCTAACAGACAGACAAATACCTATCAACATACTTACCGATCTTAAGATCGATAAGTAATAAGGAAACTCGGAATAAAATTATGACCCAACCCTAGCCTCGTACACATACTACGTTCCAATGTCCGCTATCTCGGTGTCCGCCAAAAAACGAAGTAGCGAAACTAAAATTAATTTTACAAAATAGGGTTGATAAACTCTTGTTGAAGCAGGCAAATACCTGCCTTATTTTGGACAAAATAGAACATTGGAGTGATTCATTTGCCACACTTTATTTGGAAACAATATTGAATGCTGTAATTGCGCGAGCCGACGGCACATGAAGATCTAAAGAGATACAGACATGATGCGGGAACTGTAATGTGGCTCCCATCGCGTGGATTGCAAGATATGCGACCAAAAGAAATATAGTATAAGATCTGTAGAAACATTCTAAGAACGTTCCGAGGCCTCTTAAGGCAATTTGACAACAGTGGGTGACATTCAAGATTTTTGACAATGAATGATTCCGAGCTCTTCCTGTATATATAACCAGCCTATATTAGCGAAATGTTGTTTATTTTACGCAGTATAATGTAGGTTTCGCCCAGTTTCCTTATTCAGACATATTTTACCCACCTAACCACATTTCTTTATCTTTTTCTCCAAATCCATTAACATAGTCATTCCATCCTCTGTAAAAGTCTTCTATTCCATCCATTCGTCTTTGAAAAACCTTAAACGACAAGAATATTAGATTTTCTTACCTTTGCTAATTAGAAGTATACATTCTAAAGTAGGCTACATGTGTTTATACAAGGTATGTGAACCAAGATGGAAGGTAGTGTGCCTACCAGACTAGGATTAAGTCGTTGTTTTTCCAATATTCCTTATGTTAGTTCTATTACGAGTTCAGGGGCTAGCCAACTGACTCCCGTAGTATTTGCACCTAAAATTATGGCCTAACCCTAACCAGGTAACACATACTAAATTCCGGTGTCTACCATCTTGGTTCACATACTTCAGGAGTGCCCAAATTATTATATTAGATATGGCAAAATAAAAGAGTGGCAGATGATTTTGAAAGTAACTCTGTTAAAATCAACGTCTTGTTAAATATTGTTGCTAATTTTCTAGTTTAGGTAGCGCACTTTAGGTAGGCATGCGAGCAGGTCCATTTATGAATATTTGCAAGTCTTGATTATAATAAAGGCTTTGGCTTACGAGATTTTTATGCCGCGGAGGACAACAAAAATAAAAGTGATGATTTTCATCGAATCAAATTTTTTTCGGTACTTCCGAAGTATGTGTACCTGGTTGGGTCATAATTATACTCCGATTTTAATTCTATTAGAAGTTCGGGGATTGTCCATGTTAGCCAAGTGAATATACCCATTGCCTACAGGTTTCAGTTCCTTCACACAACCTGATGTAAAATTGGCGAACAAAATTAGTTACCTCCCTATTGGTACACATACTTCCAGAGCGCCACTTTTTCAGCTTGCGAGAATGGCTAGGTAACGACCACCATATTATATCAGTTATTTCTTACGATCCACCCGCCTCCATCTGTTTCAAGATCGCAGTAAACTTCGAACGGTTTGTCTCTCGACTCTGGATAGATATCAAAGACTCCACCGGTGGTGTTCTGAATTTTTGCATAGCTTTGAATAACTTTCGTGCAATCTTCGGGAAAAGCTGTCAAAAATTCATAAAATTTAAAGACTTTTACATAAAAGTAAAGAAATATATGCGCAGTAAAGGGTGTGTTCCAGAATAATGATCTGAATTTTGATGAATTTGAACTTGGGAACAGTGCAATATTATTATGTATATACAGGGTGTCCCTAAAGCCCTTTTACAATTTAAATTTCGTGATGCAGTCAGTTCTCGATATATCCTAACCGGGTTTGTTGTTTTTGATCGTTATTTGTTAAGTATTTTTACTTCATTTAAAATATTTGTGAGGCCCGAAGCAATATATGGTATCGATAAATTTTCCTTTGCAATTTTAAAACATTTTAAGACTTTATGGGCATCCTGCATATTTGCACCAGAACATTTGTACCTGTATACTTTTGCACCCACGGTCGTTTGGACTCATGAATATTTGTACCCAAGGACATTTGTTCCAACGAACATTTGCATCCACGAACAAATGACAAATAATGGAATTTATCGACCCATATATTAAAGTATTGAGATTTTCTACGCGGTTCAGCTATTCATTAATAAATAGAATTTCGGACTTATATGAATCTGATGAATCTACTACCACTGTGTTTCCTCGAAAATAATTTTTTTTTCCAAAACAAACACGAGGGTTTATTTATTCAAAGACGAAATTACAAAGTAAAGAATTACGAGGTTTGTAAATGTACAAAATATAAAAACCGATACTTTATTGAAAAAACTGCTAAACATAAATCATTCAAAAATGACCATATAACCATCCTTTGCAAGACATTAGATTCTTAAATTTTGAACGTGTAGGAGGGATTTCTTGCTATCGACTAGGTCGAAAAAAAATTCATTGGGGACCCTATTTTACGTAAATACGCACCACAAAAGTTGTGTGTTGTACGCTACCTTGTGTAATCCTTGCCAGAAGAGAAAAAGAAACGTTTAATCGCGAAATTTCGTCTAAAGCTTGATCAATCTGGAGTTGCTGTTGTTGCAGTTTCTAATTGAACACTTTGGAATCTACAAAAAATGATATATATGCTAATTTGTGACAGACAATGAAAAATTCTCAATTACATATCGGGGGTTATAAGACAAAAAAGAGATATGTTAAATTCCCGAATAATTGTGTGAAAATAATTGCCAAGAACTAAGCTGGTATCTATCTATTCATAGTTTGAAGCAGTATTCATCAAAGTGTTTTAATAAAAGTCACAAGAGTTCAAAAATCAAAAGTATATGTCTTTTTAAAACAGCTTTTTCAAAATTTTCCCGTTGGTTTGAAGTACATTTACAATCAAATCATGGAGTATAAAACTAAGCAAACAGTCATTCAAACAATCTGGATCACCGGGCTACTTTTTTGAAACAAAATCACATAATATCACCATTAGTCATAATATCCTTTAATTCCGAAACTGAATTGTTGTATCCAGATTCTAGTTTTTCTTCCAGGAATTTCATTTGTCCAAGCGATTGGTTGCCTTGGTCCATTATTTGTTCTTTCACTATTTTCATCTCGTTTTGGAGCTGTTAATTTTAGATTTCACTAATTAGCTTGCTGAATTTAAAAGAGGTGTACAGTTTTTGTGCGTCTTTAATTATACAATAAGATTTGACTTCAATATAACAGTATCTCGCCGAGCTTAATTATACACACATTGCGATGAGCTTGAGTCTCATATTTATAAACCAACTGGATTTATTTTGCAAGTTATCAAACCTTGCTAAAGCCAAATGGATGTTTTGATAAATTCCATCTAAAGTGTAACACGCAAACAATTCAACACGTAGGCCTAAGTAGTTAATACTATTTGGAAAAACCGGGGTCTTCCCACTTTCCTACCCAAATTATTTCACCCTCAGTGAAGTGAAGGCATGGGTTCAAAAAGAAGGTGTGCAATCTGCCCCAACGCCCCCGTTTAGAAATCCTGGCTGCGTCTTTTTTATAATTGCACCACACAGTTTCAGTATTTTAGAACACACTGCACAAAAGTGATGTTCTCTCTAAAAATCTGTTCCAAAGTACTTGGGTTCTATTTTTGGGAATTTATTTTGAGCCTGGTGTATTCGCTTCATCAATCGGTACAACCATGTGCTTTGAGAAAAACGAAGATTGCGAAGAAACTGCCAAGAGATACGGATAATAAAATTACCCAGTTTTAAAAAATTTATCATTTGACATCGTCAAAGACTTGTGTACCCGCTACAGATGATAGGGGTAATGGACGAAACACCGGTATTTTTCGATATGGAAGGGAACAAAACTGTTAATAAAGCAGGCGAGAAAACCGTTTGGGTCAAAACAACAGGCCACCAGAAACAACGTTTTTAAAGTTCTTTATTGTGCCCTGCTGATGGGACAAAATTGCCGCCTATGGTAATTTTCAAGAAAAAGACATTTCAAAACAAGCAAAAATTTCCGAAAGGAGTAATCGTCCACATTTAAGAAAATGAATGGATGGATAACAAGCGGTGTCTAAGGTAGATCAATGAATGAAGTGTGGGCGCGTCGTCCTGGTGGACTCCTAAATTCAAGATCCCTACTTGTTTGGGACATGTTTAAATCACATTTCTGTGAAAATGTGAAAGAAGCAGTCAGACGGTGCAACACGGATATTGCGGTAAATCCCGGTGCCCGCACATCTGCCACACAGCCATTGAACGTATGTCTGAATAAACCCTTCAAATATAGGCTCCGTAAATGCTGGAGTGAATGTATGGTTTCCGGGGACCAAACTTTCACTTCAGCTGGAAATAGGCGCGCCGCATCACTCGCTACGGTTTGCGAATGGATTTTGAAATCGTAGGGAGAAATCAAGGTTCGAATAGTTGAACGGTCTTTTAAAAAATTAGACATTTACGCTATGTATGGAACCGAGAACGATCTTTTATGGTTGGATGATGGCGAGGAGGACCGCAACACTCAACCAACACCAGCCTAAAATGATCCCTATGGCGACCAGGCGTCCGCCAAACACTGATGTCGATTGTTTGACGATGACGATGAATTGCGTGGTTTTTAAATATGATAACGAGATAGCGATCAGAGATCGCCGACTCATCGATCTAGCGGCGTGTATCTTTCGCTTTTCCTCAATAGCGACACCGCGATTCAACCTCGCTTTTATGAGATATCGACAAATACCGATCAAGATCGACAAGTAATTAAAGCGTTCACATTCCAGATCCACGAAGCGAGAACACCGATTCATAAAACTGATCTGGCGGGGAGGGCAAATTATCGCTCGCAAGATATTTGATGGTCGGAATAAAATAATAAGCTGACATCGAAAAATATTATCATAGTTGCCCAATAGGACGCCCTCCCCCCTAAATCAGGCCAAAACTTTGGGTCTAGAAAAGCGACTTATTTGCCGGAAATACGGTGATAGTTAATCCAGCACTGACTAATGAATAAATTTTCGAACCTGCATGATGATCACAATGCCAACAATGACGAGCACAAGAATCAGTGATAAGAATATTGCCAAAGTAATCAGTCCTCTTCTAACATTTGTATCTTTATTTCCTAAAAAATGAAAACAAAATTTGCTGTAAAAAAAGGATTCGCAAAATATTTTATAACTTTTAGTTTGAGCTGACCTCAACGTCAGGATAGGATTTACATGTTAATCCAGGGGAAAGGAAAGCCGATAAGACAGCTTAACCACATGGCGAACCACGGCCTCTAGTCCGGTTACCATTCCATTTGGAGTATGGGATTTGTTAGTTATTTGTTTTCGGATGCATGGACTTGATGGCGGGGGAAACCGTAACCGACCAGGGGTTACGTGAACTACCCCAGGCGACGGGGAGTTCAGCAATACTCTCGCACACAACCATCCCTGCATGGGATTCGAACCTGTGAGTAATCAGCTTTGTAGACGGCTCATATAAGCGTACATAAAAAGGAGGTACAGAAGTAAAACGAAAGTAGGATGATACGGATGCAAGACAATGAACTTCAGGATTTTAGAAAGCAAACATTCATAGGTTTTCGGGGCCTGTTTGTTCGGCATTACACACTTTATTTACACACTACAACGATGTCCCAACTAAAACATATTTTGTCTTAATCATTGATGAAAACTTCTTCTACCGCTTAATAAGTTTGAAAGAAATACTGTTACACTACGGTTTATTGGATAATAATTAATGTTAACGAGAAGAGCCGCATGAAAACTCTCGTGAGTCGCAGTTTGGTTGGTTAATAGAATTCCTTTACTGCTGCTAACAAATGAAGCTATAGGGGAAAGGTTTGAGATTTAGGCAACAATTTTTAAAAGCATAGAAAATGACTGGAATTAGTGTTGCAAAAACGTCATCTGAGTCTAAGAAATATGAACTTCTTCACTTGAAATAAATGATTTTCGCAGTCGCAAGGAACGCTTCACCCATTGCATATCTCCGATGAATCCGATATTTATTTTTAACATACCTGTATTCTTTACGTGCTCTGGTGGTATTGGCACCTCATAGATTTCCTCCGATGTTGCTATGGTTTTCGGCATATTAGCATAGAATTCTGTCTCTGTCGCAGACATCCGAATAGGCTGGTTGGTCACTGAATGTGTTTATTTCGCACTATTGGAATTATTTATTCGAAAACGAGAGCTTTTAGTGAAACGTAAGTTACTAGTGCTTCGCGTAACCGGATATCATAACACTGTGAGAAAATATTATTTTTTCGAGTCGAATAATACAATTCATATTGTATTCAAAAGAACGCATACTTGTTTTAATTCAAACGCGAACACGCAAAGCGCAACATCATAAGTTTTGATGATATTTCGCCATTTACGTCAATGTGTGCAGTAACAATATTATTTTATTTAGATTCACTTGAAGAAAACAAAACTCTGATGCTCTGTTTGTGGTTTACACGTTGTTTAAATATGAATATGTGTGACTGGACCGGAATTGATACTTTATGTTGTTTTCATTGTGTTACGCACCAGTGCATATGCATTATAAGTTAAGACAAAGTACGCCAGTGCGTGCATCAATAATGTTGTTTTATTCAAATTATTTAAGTACGTGACATACATACGCACACGATCATGATTCTTGTTTCAGAATGCTGTTGTTGTGTTCAAATTCTCACTTTCGTTTACAATTAACTCACGACCAACCGCAAATCATCACCATTGTAAACTATTAAGCAACAATAAGCAATAATGTTAAGTAACTTCGACTTGACAACAATTATAGATTCATATTTATCCTTTGTGATTTCTGGACGTATATGACCAGTGGTGAGCTGTAGCCGGGACGCACCGGAATTTTGCGAATTAGGTGCGTTCCGGTTGTTACGATATTTCCAGCTCATCACTGTATATGTCCCTAATTGTTTGTGTTTATTTATACAAAAACGACATAATTTCTCGTTGGTGGCAACTAACTATCTTTATTTTATGTGTAGACCCATATGTAGACTTCTATATTTTATGATTTAAAGTAGACTTCTTGCTTTTTATTTTGTTATGAATCGGGGTATTCATTAAAATAAATTGTTCATTGATCTTCAATCAATGTCTACATCAGGGGTCTCAAACTCAATTTTCATGGAGGGCCGCTGAGACGGAATCTGAGTGAGTCCGGGCCGCATCAGGTTTTACATAATAAATGCTTAGCTTGATCAAGTTAAATCTTCTAAAAGTTCTTCATTATATACGCAAAACAAGTCAAATACATAAATGTAAGTAGTTCCGCGATGAACCTTACCCCGAGCATCCACTTCCTTGTTTATTCCGTAACATTGGCTAATCAGCAAGACGCAAAAAGTAACGTAACAATAGAAGTTTTCGCAACTCAACCGCTCAGACACTTCTGTCACTCAAAATGAGTTTGAAGGCTCCAACTCGCGAGGCCACCTCTAAAATAAACACCAAAAAAATTTGCAATGGTAAAAAATAGGCCGCAATTGGCCCGAGTTTGAGACCTCTGGTCTACATCAATAAGAAATTGGTTGATAGGTAGCATTCATTAATATCAGATATAATAAGCCCTGAAGATATACTGTACGACACATATAAACTTCTACGTGACAGAATGAAAATCCTGGACTGAGAATTAAATAATGCATGTGAATAATAACATTTTTAGCATAAAATGTGTTCTTATGTCTATTGCAGAGATTATATATCTACTTTCTGCCAAACTGTTAACGACTTCATTTTTGAAAAAGGTAAATAAGTTTGAAGTTCTTAATTTTTAAATATATTTATGATTTTCACGCCTAAAATACAAAGCTAGAATTTTGCAGTGTAAACAATATAAAATAGTGAAACCTTAACGGCGTGGTCGATACTCAATACCATATATCTGTATAATTATGGGGTAAGATTTAACTTTGATCAACAACCATTTCCTTTATAAACGATGTTGGCATCAAATTTTACGAAACCAATGATTATGCAAATCATTCAATTTGCTATTGTGCTCCAATATATTGAATGAACCGAAGAACTTCCGCCCAGGAGGTAATAGAAATCTGAGAAAGCAGATTACATCTCAGTACTAGTGGCGTTTAATTTTTTAAATTGAAAGAATCATAAAGATTGAAGGCCGCAATATATTTATTGTTTGATGGTGCATGCGACACATCAAATTATAATATGAAATCGCAAAATCTTGCTCTATCACTTATGTCAGGCAGTAATGAAATTTCTAGTGCAGCGTGCGGATTCACCGGAATAAGTGCTCGCCACTAATAACTAGTTTAGAACAGAGTTTCCCAAACCTTTTGAGCCGCGGACCCCCGTTTGTGAAACTAATTTTTGACGGACTCACATCCTATGTCGTATCAATTTCTGTTCCTATCTAACGAGAAAACATAATTTTTTTGACAAAATAAAACTCATGAAAATCTGGTAGGTAACGGGCTCAAATGACCTTAGCAGTCGCACAAGTTGTTGACTGCTGAGTGGTGATAACTCAGTAAACCATACATACAATTAGGGCTGTCCAAGCGAACCAAATATTCGAAATCGAATCGAATCGCAAATTATTCGAATCGTTTTTCGGCTAATTTTCGAATCGCTAAAATTAGGTACCTGTACATAAAGCGGAAACCACCTTTACGGGATGTTTTTCATCGGGCAAGCGGCGGCGCTCCGAGCTCAGACCACTCTTGCTCCCGGCTTAATTGGTTTCCCGATATTTCTCTCGCCTTCATATTGTGATAAACATGTCATTACTAATGCCCGCCCGGTGGCACGTGATTAGCCATTTCATGCATGGTCATCATAACAAGGTATAATTGGCCATGACGTTTTTGAGAGAGAAAAAGGAGACAATTTAGAAAACGATAGTTCTATAAATAGAATCGATTTGAAGCTGTTGAGTTAGTTATCATAGGAACATGGTACAGGCAACTCAAAGCTGAAACAGGTGTTTTGGGATCCTTATGATGGCAATACCGTCTTTGAATGGATTTTGTAATTTCTTATGATGGCATTACTGTATTATCCATCTATATACCAAGACAAATAATTGCACTCTTGCATTTTGATGGCTGTTGTACACTAACAATATTATAGTCGTCAAATAATATTGTCATCAAACTAGCTTGGAAATTTTAAATGCAATTTTGAACTTTAGCAACAGTTTTATCTATATTGATGGCTGTTATTATTTTGCTGAAATTTACACAAAAAACATAAGACTAGTTAAATAGGAATAAAATAGCATCTACAGCAGGCCTGGGCAAGTTGCGGCCCGCGGGCCACATCCGGCCCGCGGCAACGTTTTATCCGGCCCGTGAGCAAGTTTCTAGATTTAGACACTTTTTTTCATTTACCTATAAAATATACTTTGATTACGAACAAAAGAATTTTTAGGTCAATGAAAAAGTCGATAATAACATTCGACTAAATTTCCTTTAAATCGCCGATTGTTTTCGTCATCTCGAGGTGTTATTTAGATTTTAGAACGTAAACACCTTTAGGTTAGCGATTAGTCTCCTCAGGTCACAAATTTTCCTCAACAAATATAAGTCTTGTATACGGAACTGTGGAACCATTGAAAAAAACGAGTTATTATATAATCATCGGCGACGAGATGCTAAAGATAAATAAAGGAGTGAATCTGCAAGCAACCTAAATCTAGATTTAGAGCGGCAATATAAAATACTAAAAATTGAACAAAAACAAGTTATGATTCAAACGGCTCGCGATAGATTAGTAACGCGCTTGTGAAAATGGAAACTAAAAAATTTCTGGTGCCCACGTCACACATTTTAATTGCGTAGCTTTCGTGGGCGCGATGTACCTTTTGATCAATTCTAAAACTACCGACGGGGCCTGATTTTATAAGATAATTGATATAAGGTAAACGCAATCGATTTTTATGTAACTAAAAAGAATTTTACTCGGTGTACTTTATCGCAGGGGGATTTTTCTGATGGTAAAATCTTTAAAACAGAGCTGAGTCAGTGTTCTAATGCTTATATTTTATCAAAGCAGCCGCGGGTTAGGTTGAAAACAACAAGACATTTCAATGTGCCCGTATCATTGCATTTTAAATATATCCGTATCGCAAAAATAGATATAGTATATCTCACATTTTTAAATCCGCAGATAGTCGTGGTATTTTACAGCAGACTTTTACGCTCGCAATGCATTAAAATTTCCACGAACCTTGTTCACCTTAAAAATGCTATGATGACAGCAAAATTATATGAATCACGATGTTTGGCCACTAAATGCATGGTCCTAATTCCGCATTGTTACTCACTTTCCACTATTAATGACAAAATTCGGCATTGTTATGCAAGCGTTCCGTTTCTCTGATCCAATGTATTGTCTCGAAATCGCCAGGTTTACGTTTTAAACTAGTTTTATTAAATGAGCTTTGAATAAAAATTCTAACAAAGTGCAATAGATATTGTACTCATTTGTATACTTACTTATATATAGTACGTATTTAGATATGTGATAAAATACAATAAAAACGCGCAATTGACTCTACTTAGTCCGGCCCGCCACTGCATTTTGAATATTCAATGTGGCCCGATACCAAAAATAATTGCCCAGCCCTGATCTACAGGCTTTACATGTCCTATTAAAACTGAATCCATCAAAATTGAGATTGCAATTTTTGAATAGTGCAATTTTTACTTTTAACACTCAACAGTTTTCGAGACCCAAATTTTGGAGTCCTCCAATTTTTTTGACCAGTTCATACAAGCGTGTGATCTCCTTTCATAAATCTGAAAACATTGTATTGCAAAATACCAGCAGTAAGTAAGATGTAACTGCACATACGTTACCACAACATCGAAGGGCAGGCGTTTATTGTATAATAGAGATAGATTTAATATTGCGCAATAATATTCGATTATTCGGTTCGATTCGGCGAAAATATTCGATTCGAATCAAAAAATTATTCGATTTTGGACAGCCCTACATACAATCAATTATTATGACGATGTAGCTCCGTGACGAATGTCCACCACACAGACGCTAAAGGCAAGGATCGTTCTAAAACGGTTTTGTACTCCAATTGTTTCGCAACAATGGTGATTTGCAATGGCGAACTTATCTCATCTACGAATGGTTATGCGGCAGTGTATCTACGTTGAAATGTACAGTATATGTTCAGACTCTTTTCATATCGTCACGGACCCCAGTTTGGGAAACGCTGGTTTAGAACAGGGGTCACCAAACTACGGCCCGCGACATCATTTTATCCGGTCCGCAGTAACACACAAAAATGGCTAAATTTTTTTTTCAAGGGAGATTTTCACGAGCATCGTCGTCTTTGTTTTTTCGTAACATTGCTACCAGTACGTAACGTTTTCTGCGATACACTTCTACACTCGTGGCGCGTGCTTTCGACGAAACTGTTTGTTTTTTGTGCTAAAATAAACGTCGAATGTGCATTTTGTGCAGTACTGTAATCCCTCGCGTACTGCTCCAATTTCAAACGCCACACTAACTTTTGTACTGCTTTAATGCGGATGATATTCATGTAGGTATGTTACAAAAAAATTGAAGTCCATCCGATTTAAATAAAAACTGCTTCAGTGGAAAGATCTGAGTAAAAATAGAAAACAATACCGAAGATATCGGAATTTTAGTATCGCCCGACAGGCCAATTTTTTCCATATAATGATTGTATTACTTTTTTGATAAGAACTGAACTAAATATGGAAAAATAACACATATCAATCACTAATCTTTCGATGTGCGTCACATCTATGGTATATTGAGACTATTTCAGAATTTTATTCTGGCAACGGTCATTGACACCGCCGAAAGATCGTCGCAAATAAACGCTGGAGTTGTGCATGATAGTTTGACAGTGGTTCATTGTGGGTAATAATTAACGATGTGCTGATTGTACGAACTTCATAAAAATTTTATCAAGTTAGGAAAGAAATACACACGTCCACATACATTTTATTGGTGTCCATAGACAATATCATTAATTTGCACTACGTATAACTGGAGCGTAATTTTTAAAAGCGTCGAATGTTGGGAAATTTATGCGCTAATGAAAAAAATCAAATACCAGATAATAGTTGTTTATTTTATCTAAATTATGTCAAAATTTCA